GCCCTGTGCTTGTGGTGGTTGTTGCTGCTGTTGCCCTGTGCTTGTGGTGGTTACTGTTGCTGCTGCCCTGTGCTTGTGGTGGTTACTGTTGCTGCTGCCCTGTGCTTGTGGTGGTTACTGTTGCTGCTGCCCTGTGCTTGTGGTGGTTACTGTTGCTGCTGCCCTGTGCTTGTGGTGATTACTGTTGCTGCTGCCCTGTGCTTGTGGTGGTTGTTGCTGCTGTTGCCCTGTGCTTGTGGTGGTTACTGTTGCTGCTGCCCTGCGCTTGTGGTGGTTACTGCTGCTCCTGCTGCCCTGTGCTTGTGGTGGTTACTGCTGCTGCCCTGTGCTTGTGGTTACTGTTGCTACTGCCCTGTGCTTGTGGTGGTTACTGTTGCTACTGCCCTGTGCTTGTGGTGGTTACTGTTGCTACTGCCCTGTGCTTGTGGTGGTTACTGCTGCTGCTGCCCTGTGCTTGTGGTTGTTGCTGCTGCTGCCCTGTGCTTGTGGTGGTTACTGTTGCTGCTGCCCTGTGCTTGTGGTGGTTACTGTTGCTGCTGCCCTGTGCTTGTGGTGGTTACTGTTGCTGCTGCTGCCCTGTGCTTGTGGTGGTTACTGTTGCTGCTGCTGCCCTGTGCTTGTGGTGGTTACTGTTGCTGCTGCTGCCCTGTGCTTGTGGTGGTTACTGTTGCTGCTGTTACACCTCCGGCAGCATCGCCACTGAACTTCGCTCAGAGCGGCGCGTTCCGTGACCCCCGTGGCCAACACGCAGCAGCAGCAGCAGCGGCGGCAGCGCGTGATTCAAAGTCATCGTGAGCGCACGCGCGCGCAAAAATACATCTCCATTAAACTCACGCGTTACTTGAACGCGCTTAAAACGCCAGGCGATTGTATACACGTGTGTGGAGTTATGTAGCATTTAAAAAAAAAAAACGAACACAGCGGTCAGGATAGTTTAAACTGCGTGTTCAGTTTAATTCGTCACCATCATCGCCATCGCCATCGTGAACTCGCTTACTCATGTCCATTGTTAAACAATTATAAAAACCCGCTTTCTCCCACGCCCGTGGTTTAGTCGAGGGACAAATCTCGCGTACAAAGAGGAAACCACTGGGCAAACCCTGGCCAAGCAGGCGAGCAGATTTGTACAGGTTCGAGTACAGTTGTCCAGGCGAGTACAAATGGGGCAATCCTGCCGCACAGGTAAAACCCAAACAGGTGAGTCGAGTACGTGCAAAGGTGATTATTCCCAGCGTAGACGTGAGAGAAGCCGCCTTACACAGGTAATGAGCTGATTGCAACACAGGTGAGTCCACAATCAGGCACGTAAACCCCAGTGCATAGGTGAGCCTCGGCATAAAGGTAGCCAGATCCCCAGCCACAAATGTAAATCCGGTGCGCAGGTAAATTAGTCCCATTGCACAGGTTGAACTCGCAACACAGGTGGGTTGTGTGCGTACGACGAAAAAATAAAAGCAACCCCTCCACCCACCCCACCTGTCAGGAATGTGAGTTAACCTGTACACGGACAAGCGAGCCTCGCAGGTGAGCTCGTATAAAAGGTGGAAACTAAATTTGCACGTGGCGGAGTCCATTGTTTACAGGTGAATTCGATGTACAGGTGAGATCCGTATGGAGTCGAACGGAGCGTGAAAGTGAGCGCACTGCACAGGTAAGTTCATTGCACAGGTAATACTCGTAAAGGTGAGATCAAATCGCAGGTGAAGTCACCCTACAAGTAAACTTATACCCCCGGGGTTGAAGTCGGTTCGTCAGAAAAGGTGAGAGCGACGAACAGGTGAAGTCCTATCCCGGGATGAACTCGGTTCATCAGTACAGTTGAGAGCACCGGACAGGTAAATTCTCTACACAGGTGAGCTCTGTGTTGGCACGACGGTCCCAACGTTGGCATCCAAAGCGTGCTGAAGAAGCGTCCGTGCGGGCGGAGCTGGATCGTCGGACAACGGCCCAAGAAGTCACCGGGCCCCCCAGCATAGCGACGCCGGAACTTTGAAGAGTAACTCGAAATCCGGCGTAGAGGGGAGCAGCCAGCTAAGGTGAGTCGATGCAACAGAGGCGAAACTGAAGCCGAATTGTACAGTACCCGGTATGCAGGCGGACGCGGCGGCAAGGACATCGTCAGCTCAGGGGGTGCGGCTATCCGTCAGGTGGGCCCCCCGATATTGTGATTTGTCTCGCACGGTCGCACCCTCGCGGCTACTCTAACTCTCTAGCCCTCATCCTCGTCGTCGTGACGCTCACGGTCTCGAACATTTAACGCTGTCGGGGGCGCTCCAACGCCTCGGTAAAATGCAGCCAACGACAGCTCCGTGCTAGGAAAAAAAAAACCCCAGTAAACCGCGTTTTTAGTAACTGCTGTTCTTTGACACTTGCAAACAAATCTCATCCTGGTGGTGGTCAAGTGGGGTCCCCCCTCCCCCCAACTCGAAGCTTTGGCTACCGGGGGGGGGGGCAGGGGGGGCAGGGGGGGGGCAAGGCACCCCCCTGTTCTGCCTCGCGCTCATTACGCTACTGGGTCAATGCATTGCGCACGCAATTCGAGTGTGCCGCTGGGCGAGTGTGCCACTGCGCGAAGAGTAGGAGAGTAAATATGAGTGAATAGGCGAGCGGGTGAATGAGAAGGTAGGTGAGTTAGTGGGTGAGTAGGTGAGCGAATAGATGAAGTAGGTTTGCGAGTGAATGGCTGAATAGGTCAGTGGGTGTGTGGGTAAGTAGCAGAGTTGATGAGGGAAGAGGTAAGTGGATAAGTGAGCGAGTGGATGGTGAGTAGGTGAATATTGGGATGCCACTCAAAGCAGCTAGAGGCAGAGGAGAGAATGAATGAGTCCCCTGTGACTGAGTGGCGTAGAAGACGACTCAGCCGGCCAATGTAACGTTTCACAAGTCACACAGAGGGAGCGATCAAACTGAAAAACCTCACTTTGCCGTGCGCATATTGAGTGGCATCCTACTGCACAGGTGAACCCAAAAACACAGACTTACAAGTTGGGACACGGACTGACTTGGCCATACGCAAGAAGAGTTACGAACTTAGAGGAACGTGCCCGGTCCCGCCCATGGGGGGTGGTGCTGCATAGGCTCGAGGGTGGGCCGGATCGGCCACTGAACAGCGTGGAGGTGGACGCGCCTCCTCGCTTGACATCGCCGAGCTGTTCTCGCGCGAATTTGCAGCAGCGCGCGCGGGATTTTGCCGCGGTTGTCAAGAACCGAGTCCACGGGGTCTCTGTGCCAGCCCTTGTTGACTGGGCTGAGACCATCGACTCGCTGCTGTGCTTGAGAACCTAGTTCAACATTGAGAGACAGCTGAGAAGCCAGCCAGCCAGAACCCCGGACACCAGGAACTTGGTGGTGGCTTCATGTTCGTGTTCTCGACATGGCCATTGCGAAACCCCCTGAAGCTACCCGATCACCGCTTGTGACCTTAAATTCAACAACAACCACAACAAAATTCATAAGAGGGGTTTTTTTTTGGTGGGTTAGATCGCGTAAATAGAAAGGTGTCGTTAAACCCTCCACCACCTGACGCAGCAAATTAGCAAGGTTTTTCACGTAAACAGAACACGACAATTAATTACCAGTTCAGCACACCGGTGTTTTGGAGGGTAAACTAATCACGACATTTACAATTGTACGCGATTTCACCAAAAACAAAACTTAATGGGTAATATGGTCGCGAAAGCTGACTACGACGTGTTAAAACTAGCAAAAATAACAACTTGCACTCGCCCACATGATGATGAACATCGCTGGAATGCAATTGGCTGAATGGACTGTGATGGGGCGACGGTGAGGTTATAAAACGTCATCGGTAAACTGTAACCATGCCGCCGTGTGAAAAGCCAGCGAATCGTCTAATACAGAACCCTCGTCTCGTCCACTAAATGAACCATCAGTCGATATAGCTCTTTATATAGTTAATAATGTGTACGACTTGGGAAAATGCCTATCGATGCAAAGAGCGACTCTACACATCAAAGGAGAGAAAGTAATACGTAATACTGTTGACTTTGTCAACTCGCCCAAAAAATAACCCCCGACTCAACTCTCACGTGGTTTTGACCGACCCCATACAGCGTATTGCGTTTATATACACACTATATATGTACATATATACTATATATATACCATATATAAGTATATATACTATATATACCATGTATAAGTATATATACAGGGATTCCTGTAAGTGCAACTAAATTCCTGTCGATTGCAAACACGTCATATGGCGTGAACCCTAAACATGGGGGAATGGCTTTAAAAGTTTTATAAGCTCCTCTAGATGTAGATGCCACTGGTTCTTCACGTTCTGAAGATGTAGATGCCACTGGTTCTTCACGTTCTGCAGATGTAGATGCCACTGGTTCTTCACGTTCTGCAGATGTAGATGCCATTGGTTCTGAATGTTCTGCAGATGCAGATGCCACTGGTTCTTCGCGTTCTGCAGATGTAGATGCCACTGGTTCTTCGAGTTCTCCAGATATAGATGTCACTGGTTCTTCATGTTCTGCAGATGTAGATGTCACTGGATCTTCACGTTCTGCAGATGTAGATGCCACTGGTTCTTCATCATCTACAGATGTAGATGTCACTGGTTCTTGGCGTTCTGCAGATGTAGATGTCACTGGCTCTTCACGTTCTGCAGATGTAGATGCCGCTGGTTGAATGTTCTGCAGATGTAGATGCCGCTGGTTCTGAATGTTCTGCAGATGCAGATGCCGCTGGTTCTGAATGTTCTGCAGATGCCACTGGTTCTTCGTGTTCTGCAGATGTAGATGCCACTGGTTCTTCACGTTCTGCAGATGTAGATGTCACTGGTTCTTCATGTTCTGCAGATGTAGATGTCACTGGATCTTCACGTTCTGCAGATGTAGATGCCACTGGTTCTTCATGATCTACAGATGTAGATGCCACCACCGCCATCTATTGCGCGGCGGTTGAACTTACGACTCGCGGTCCGAACAGGCAACTGGACATGCGGACCAGGTTTGTTCGTATCTCTGAGTTTGTAAGTCGAAAGTTCGTAAGTAGAAGTCCCGGTCTGTATGTATATGTGCACAACAGCAGCCGCCATTTTCACACTTGGTGGCGGTGACGTCACCACGCTTTGTGCCAGGCCACGTGCACCTCGAAAGCTGTCACGGTGTGGAAGGCGCTGCTGCTGCTGCTGCTGCCAGGAGCTCCACGGGACAGACCCAGGTAAGTGCCATTAGTTGACTCCTGTGCCAGGCTAGGTGCAGGAGGTGGTCCCGGGACAGACCCAGGTAGGTGCCACGTGGGTTGACAGACTGAACTTGGCAGAGGCACCACCTGTGCCCCCAAATATGCCAACAATGACAACAGCCGCCGGTGACCACCAAGTGGCGGTGATATCGCCACAGCGCTTGTGCCAGGCCAAGTGCACTTTGAGGCCACTTGAAGCGTCGAATGCTCGCTGGCAGGTCACAGAACAGACCCAGGTGCCACGGGTTGACCGACTTAGACGACTGGCTAACAATATGTACATACACACGCACCTTTTCGAGACGTTTGTCCAACGTGGAAGAGTAGGCCAAATACCTAGAACTCGGAGGCTTGAATCTTTACCTATACAGGTATTGTACATACACACGACTTATGCAATGTACACAGTATTTATCTTAAATTTGTTTTATACAATTTGTTTAGATAGCGACGTGTGTAATATATAACATATGTCTGAGACTATTGTGCTAAATATAACTGGATTCACAATTGACTGCTTTGGGGCAGATCGCTTCGGTAACTCGCCCGACGATGCTGGTTGCAACTTCCAGCTAAGCGTCCGTGTGGACCCAATTGTTGTGTGTACGTTGAACTGAACTTCCTTCACACCGTACGTAGCCAACCGCGCTCACCGGAGGTGCGACACGCGTTATATGTGGATCACTCTTCCCCCGCACCTCCAATCAGCACGGCTGGTGACGCACCGTGCGAAATAAGTTAAACACGCACACACACACACACACAGTCAAGGGCTCCCTTAATCGCTTTCCTCTGCCCATCACTTTCCCTTTTCCACATCCAGATTGCAAAATCATTTCTGTTGAACTGCTTTTTCTGTGCTAGTTTGTCATTCCCCCGCACCTCCGCTCAGCACGGTTGGTCACGTGCTGCGCGAAAGGCGTTCAATGTACGAGCACGAAGGAGCGCAGACCACCGTGGTGGGTTCACCGTGCGGTCCATCGTTCGGGTCGCATGATCACAGTCGCACGGCCGTGGGCTCTCGTGGCTCTAACAATACATTGGCAGTGTCTGTTTGACGTGGCAATCTTGCTACATCGGCCATGTCGGGTGGAGGAGGGTACTACTACACACGCATTTTTTTTTATTTTTTTACCGGCACGATCCGGACTCCAAAAAGCCAGTGATGAATCGGCGGCTCGCTCCGTTCCACACACAATCAAGTGACCTTCGTCGGTGGCACCACGGAGGAAGCCTGGGTTGGACTCCCGGCTCTGAGTGTGCACATTCTCTCTCTCTCCCCTCCGTTCTCTCGTTTCATCCCATGGCGACAACCCCCACACACACCACACACGCGCACAAACAACACGACAACGGATGGCGACCAAATCATCACCACTTGCTGAATAATCACCGCAAACATCGCTGCATTCGCATTGCACGGAGCAGCAACAGCAGCATCGCCACCCCCCCTCCGCCCCCCCCCCCCAAACTGTGAACACGCGGCAGGACCCTCCGCACCCCTGCAAAGGAGTCTCGTGGCTCCGCGAGGCTCCGTGAGGCTCTCCAGGCTCAACATGCGTATGCATAACAGCTCCCAATGAGCAACTTCACACGCAGGACGTTGCAACGTGAAAGCCATCGTCCTTCCCTGGGTGGATAGGAGGAGTAGCACCACTTTGAGGGAAATCAACAGGGGTTGTCCTGTTGATGCACTGGTCCCCGGCATAGTAACGTGGAATTTCCACCGCTGGCTCTACTGCTATTGGCCGTTGACGTGAAGGTGGTGTGTTGTGTGTGTGTCCTGTACAGTGTACGTGGGAGCGGTTGGCGCACTGCACGATGAGCCCTGCGCGCCCCGAGGTTAGATTCCTGCTCGCAGCCAACACTTGGCAAATATCTGAACCAGCCCTGGGCCTCTCCTATGTCGACTCGCTCTCAAATGAGTACCTCGTGGCGTTGTGTAAACAAAGGTGGCCAGACGTGGTGCTGGCCACCCACCCCCTCATGCGCCGTGCCGGCCTTCAGAGGTGCTACTCGCTAACAGCACTTGCCCCAACAGCATGCTAAAGGCTACACGGGGGATCTTTGTCTGCGTGTATTTCTCAGTTACTCCGCGTGTTGTCCGTGTGTACCCTGTGTCTGTCCGCATGTCACCCACATCTGTCCATCACTCCGCGTACGTTTCCACCGCGCGTGTCCACGTTACCCGGCGTGACCCCAACGTGTGTCGCATTGCCGTCACGTGCCACGCGTTGCCGTCACGTGCCAAGCGTTGCCGTCACGTGCCACGCGGTGCCGTCACGTGCCAGGCGTTGCCGTCACGTGCCACACGTTGCCGTCACGTGCCACGCGTTGCCGTCACGTGCCATCAAACGCTACCACGTCTCGTGACGTCAACCAACACGCTTGCCGTCACGCTACGCATGGTCAGGGCTCGTCCACACGTCGCCACGCGTGCCGTCGTCACATGTTGTAGGCCACGTAGATGGGGTCGAGTTTGTCCGCGAAGAATCCGTCACGCAGGTGCAAGCGCTGCTTCTCCCCGCGCGAGTTGATGGGTATGACGCCCACGTCCACCACCACCACGACGCCAACCTGCACCGCCCGGGGAAGGGAGATGCCGAGCCGTTACCGCGGTGGACAAGAGAGGGATGGGACGAGTGGAGGGATGGACAACGCCACCACCAAAACAGGACAAGGATCTCCCCCGTGTGTCGCTTTAACAGACCGTAGGGGCAAGTGCTGTTAGCGAGCAGCACCTATGAAGGCCGGCACGGCACTCGAAGGGGTGGGGTGGCCAGCACCACGCCCGGCCGCCTTTGTCTCCCCGAGTGGTGATGTTTACACACCGCACCAGGTACTCATTTGAGGCTGAGTCGACCTAGAGGAGGCTCGGCACCGATTCAGATAATGGTCGATGGTGTTGGCCGTGAACTGGAGTCGAACTTGGGTCGCCGGGTTGTAGCGCAACACCACCACCATCGCCCCAAAATACCACGAAATATCAACGTCACCATCATCACCATTCTCACCGACACCCCAGCAACATCGTCCTCACCATCATCATACCACCACCAGCATGAACTTCATCACCGCAATCACCAAACTCTCCATAAGCACGTTCCACCACCATCATGAACGCTTTATAACAGACGGCTGGGGAAAGTGTGAGCACCACCCAGTAAAACGGGCAACGCTGGGCCAACGTTGGGCCAACGTTGGGCAACGCTGGGCCAACGTTGGGCCAACGCTGGGCCAACGTTGGGCCAACGCTGGACCAACGTTGGGCAACGCTGCACCAACGTTGCCATGCGGTTAGAAACGTTTGACCAACGTTGGCCAAACGTTCCACGCATTCTGGGCACCCCAACACCGAGCCCCCCACCCACTCGAGTGGTGGCTGTGATGATGTCACCAGCCCCCCCCCCCAGCCCCCCCCCCACCAGGAGGTGATGCTCCTCGAGGGCCGTGGCCGTGACGAGGGCGACGAGGTCGAGGGCCTCCTGCTCGGAGCCCTGGAGCTCCAGCACCACGACGAGGAGGTCGGTCCACTCGAACACGGCGCTGGTGACGACACCGCCACACACCCATTACAACAACAACAATTACTTAACAACAACAACACCACCACCACAGATTACTCAACAACAACAATTACTCAACAACAACACCACAGAGATTACTCATCAACAACACCACCACCACCACAATAACTACAGCTTCGGCACCACGACGAGCCGACTACCCCTAGCCAGGCAGCCCCCAGTACTCGTGCTCCCTGGGACGCTACGCCGCCGTGCGTGTGTGTGCGTGTGTGCGTGTGTGTGCGTGTGTGTGCGCGTGTGTGTGCGTGTGTGTGTGCGTGTGTGTGCGTGTGTGCGTGTGTGTGTGCGTGTGCCCCCCGGGACCCCCCCCCCCCCCCACCATTCGGCGATGTTGCGGTGGGCGCGCAGAATGGACGACTCGATGTCGATGGGGTGGTAGCGCAGCCCCTTGAGCTCCATCGCCTCCTCCAGCGCGCCCACCACGTACAGCGCATCGTGGCGCTCTGCACGCACGCACACGAAGATCAAGATCTCCCCTGTGTAGAATGTCGCGCTAACACACTAACACACACTAACACGTGTGAAAAAAATACATCACTCTGCGATACATTCTGGCACAGATAAGACACGCGTGCATGTACGTACACACACGCACGTACATCCACACAGACACGTACATCCACACAGACACGCGTGCACGTACGTACACACGCATGCACGTGCACACGTGCACAGACACAGGAACACACACACAGACACGGACGCACACGCGCGCACACAGACACGTACACAGACACACGCGCACACAGACACGTGCGCACAGACACGCACGCACACAGACACGCGCACACAGACACGCACACACAGACACACGCACGCGCTCACCGCCACTGGCGTCGGTGAGCTCCGTGCGCCGCAGGAAGCCCAGGTAGCCGGTGCGTGCCCACGCCGTGTGTGTGTCGCCGAAGCTGAGCCGCGCTCCGAAGTGCTCGGAGCAGCGAGCGTCGTCGCCGTGTACCGAGAAGTAGCCGCTGGCGCTGTGCGGGCTGCTCACCCAGATCTACAGAGACAAAGGTCCCCCGCGCTTAGCCTTGACAGACCGTTGGGGCAAGTGCTGTTAGCGGGCAGCGCCTACGGAGGGCCGGCACGGCACACGAGCGGGTGGGTGGAGTGAGCAGCCACGCCCGGCCGCCTTTGTCTCCCCGGTTGGCGACGTTTACCGCACACCGCGCCGGGTCCTCGTTTTGAGGCCCAGGGCAGGTTCGGGTAATCGTCACCGGTGTTGACCGAGCGGGACTTCAACCCCGGGTGGCTAGGTTTGTAGTGCGGTTACTCCGCGTGTCGTCTGTGCATAACCCTTACTGTCTGTCTGCATGTCACCCCACCTGTCCATCGCTCCGCGCGTCTGCGCACATTACCACGGCGTGCCCCAGGTGTGTCCGTGCGTGTCTTCCCCGCCCATGTCTGTCCACGTCACCCGCCGGCGCGAGCCCCTCGTGCGTCACGTGCTGTCTGTGAAGGCTATAAGGGGGATCTTTGGTGGGGGGGGGGGGGTTTGTGCGGGACTCCCACCTCCCCGAGGTGGGAGTCCCCGAGGGGACCCCGGTGCTCGGGACTCACGATGATGACCCGCACGCCCGGCAGGATCTGAGACGACACGGGGACACGGGGGGGGGGGGGGGGGGGGGAGAGATACAAGGACACAGATACAAGGTGGGACAGACAAACATAGATGAGGGCACGGGGAGATACGCAGGGACACGGGGGGACACGCGGAGACACGGGGAGACACGCAGGGACACGAGGAGATGGAAAAGGGACATGGAGACGAGGGAAAGCGGGGAGGCAAAGATTATTTTTTTGGAAAACATCGTGAACAGACAAAACTAATGAGTCTATAGCTAAATTCTTAGCTCTTTCGGTAAAGTCACGTTGAAGGGAAACAATAAAATATATAAAACAATAAAAATTCTCACGACGTTTCGACCATAACACAAACGGCCGTCATCAGGTGTTGATGATGACCGTTTGTGTTATGGTCGAAACGTCGTGAGAATTTTTATTGTTTTATATATATTTTATTGTTTCCCTTCAACGTGACTTTACCGAAAGAGCTAAGAATATGAATTACTGCAGTCACGAAAGCTTTAAATCAGAGTCTATAGCTACCAGACCAAGGCTGGGCTAGTCACGGGCTGGGTTAGCCACTGGCTGGGCTAGCCACTGGCTGGGCTAGTCACAAGGCTGGGCTAGTCACTGGGCTAGTCGGTCACTGGATGGGCTAGTCACAAGGCTGGGCTAGTCACAAGGCTGGGCTAGTCAGTCACTGGCTGGGCTCTTCAGTCACTGGATGGGCTAGTCACAAGGCTGGGCTAGTCACTGGGCTAGTCAGTCACTGGCTGGGCTAGTCGGTCACTGGCTGGGCTAGTCACAAGGCTGGGCTAGTCAGTCACTGGCTGGGCTAGTCAATGGCTGGGCTAGTCAGTCACTGGCTGGGCTAGTCACGTGTAGACACTGACCTTGCCTGACTCCATCAGTGCAACACTGTGAGGAGCTCCCCTCTCCACGATCCGAACCCTGCACACACACAAGACAAAGATCCCCCGTTTCGCCTTGAGACTGTAGGGGCAAGTGCTGTTAGCGAGCACCTATGAAGGCCGGGGTGGCCATTGCCACGCCCGGCCGCCTTTGTCTCCCCAATGGCGATCTTTACATACCACACCAGGTACTTATTTGTGGCTGAGTCGACCTAGGGTAGGATCAGTTCAGATCGTCACTGGTGTTGGCTGCGAGCGGGAATCGAACTCTGACCACCAGGTTCGTAGCTCGGCGTGCTAACCACTCCCGCTACCCACACACGGGTACACACAAACACACGGGTACACACACAAACACACACGGGTACACACACAAACACACACGGGTACACACACAAACACACACGGGTACACACACAAACACACACGGGTACACACACACACGGGTACACACACACACACACACGGGTACACACACAAACACACACGGGTACACAGAACCAAACACGGGTACACACACACGTGGTGTTGGTGTCTGTGCATACCGGTCGTGCCACAGTGCCCTCGTGTCCACGTACACCGTGGTGGGGTCGGGCCCTGCCGTAGTCTGCTGAGAAACACATGGCCAGCACGCCGCTCGGCACACTGCTCGGCATACCACTCGGCATACCACTGTCAACACCACGGCCAGCACGCCACTCCTCACACTGCTCCACACGAGCCCATAATCCCCTACCAAATCACGCACATCACACACACAAAGATCCCCATATAGCCTGAAATTAAACTAAACTATTGTTAATTTTACCAGGTAAGACTCCACTGAGCTATGTAGCTCTCTTTCATAAGCGACCTGGCCACAAATGATAGCTCAACGAAGTGTTTTAACACGCGTGGTGATGTCGATTCTCAATGCGGAGGGAAAAACCCGAGGACCCGGAGCACAATCCACGCGACTACAGGGAGAGAGACACGAAGACTCCAAATATACAGCAGCAGGTGTCAGGGTCGGGATCGAACCCACGACCTCCTGTAAATCAGGTGAGGTAGTTAACATCTCCTAGCCACCGTGATGATGATGAGAGAGACACGCAAACTCCAAATATACAGCAGGTGTCAGGGTCGGGATCAAACCCACGACCTCCTGTAAATCAGGTGAGGTAGTTAACATCTCCTAGCCGCCACCGCGGCGCCCTTAACCGACTGTCGGGGAAAGTGCCGTTAGCGAGCACCTATTAAGGCCGTTATGGCACATGGGTGGTCAAGCACCACGCCAGGTACTCAGTTAGGGCTCAGTCGACCTAGAGCAGGCCCAGTGAACGGCTCAGATCTTCGTTGCCCATGGTGGCTGTGAGCGGGAATTGAACTGCGGCCGCGCGGGGTTCGTTTAAAATGTAATTGTTTATTTTTTTATTTTCCCCACGCTCACACTCGCGGTTCAGCGGGTCGGCAAACCGCAAGGTGGCGGCTGGTCACCGCCTGGCACATTTGCCCCGGACGTTTATTAGACGTCCGGTGAACCGGTGAACGGTTTCCCAACCGGTTGAACACGCAGGCGGTTACGGTTAACGTGCCAAAGCCGCTTGTAACCGCACGGGTCAGGCGCACGGGAGGGGTGGCGGACGACGAGGTGGAGGATTCCGACCTCTGACCTTTACCTGCTCTGACGTCTTCCCGAGCCTGTGAGGCTGGAGGTGGCGCGGGAGGAGGGGGGGGGAGGGGGGCAGGGGGAGAGGGGGGAGGGAGAGAGGAGGGCAGGAAGGCACATTAGGAGGGGCGACCAGTCGGGCGGGGGGCAGGGGAGGGGGCAGGCGGTGCGGCCCGAGGTTGAGAAGGGATGTGGAGGAGCCAGCGTGAGGGTTTGATTCGGGGGTGAGTGCAGGGCGGGGCGAGCCTGTGGCAGTGCAGGGCGCTGCAGGGAAGTAGAGGATTGTGCAGGGCGCTGCAGGGAAATGTAGGAAGGTGCAGGGCGGTGCAGGGCGGTGCAGGGAGGTTCTGGATGGTGTGGGGATGTGCAAGTAGATGCAGGGAAGTGCAGGGCATTGCATGGAGGTGTAGGAAGGTTCAAGGGAAGTGTACCGAGGTGCAGGGTGGTGCAGGGAGGTGGAGGGCGGCGCACCTGCAGGCACACGGCGGGGCTGACGCGGCAGCCGAAGGCGGTGGTGACGGCGCGGGCGTGCAGGCCCAGGTGGCGGAAGAGCTTGGAGAAGGAGAGCGTCAGGGCGGCGCGCGGACGCTCCTCCGCCACCACCACGCACGTGCGCACCCGGGACAGGTCCACGCCACGTGCCTGCACGCAGCACACCGGCACACAGCACACCGAGCGCAGCACACCGGCACAAGCAGCACACCGGCACAAGCAGCACACAGACACGCACAGTCGCATTCTTCTTCTTTCGTGTGTCGTTGGAGATCATCAGCAGCCGCTGCCGCCGCAGCAACAGCAGCAGGCCTACAACCGGTACGTCTAATGTCATCAGCCATGGTAGCCGAGTTCAGTAGCCCACTTGTTCCACCAGAGTAAGTGTACTGCATTGGGTTCGTCACTTCTGAAAAATAAGCTAATATAGCTCAGTGGGCTTCACCATTTGTGTACACGTCTCTTTTTTTAGTGATTTGTTTACCGTTTTACTTTGCACTCCCATCGTGTTTTTTGTTTGTAACGTTCTGACAAAAAAGAGCTTCATAGCTCATTGGATTCCTCCTGCGTAACTAAATATTCCGGAGCGGTAGTGTAGCGCCGTACACTTCTCGTCCACCTGGGACCACCCTAACGTGCTGACAAGCCCCCACCCAGCCCCCCCCACCCAGCCCCCCCACCCAGCCCCCCCACCCAGCCCCCCCTCCAGCCCCCCCTCCAGCCCCCCTCTAGCCCCCCCCCCCCACCTTGAGCACGTCGGTCTGGGTCCCGAGGCCGCGTGTGCACAGCTCCATGGCGGAGTAGGAGCAGAAGGTGTCCCGCACGCGGTACTGGCTCACGGCAGACAGCCACAGGGACACGTTCAGCTCCAGCTCCGACGGCGGGATGAGGATCGACTGGTGGCCCGAGTACACGCTGCTCGCTCGCACGCACACACGCGTCCGTGTACGTGAGCAAGCGCGCGTACGCGAGCATAGGTAACGAAGGGGCGGCGAGCGAGCGAACGAGACAGCGAGAGTGTGTGTGTGTGAGCGAACGAGACGGCGAGCGAGCGAACGAGAGTGTGTGTGTGTGTGTGCGAGCGACCCCAATGGGGAGGCGCCGCCGCCCGCCACCGCACACCTGCTGAGACACCAGAGCACGAAGCCCATGCCGCAGTAGGGGTCGAGGCAGAGGGCGACCTCGCGCGACGGGTACAGCTCGCACTGCAGCTTGATGGAGCGGCACAGCGCACCCACCGCACCGTGCGGCATCTACGGCGGGCAGAGGCACGCACGATTACGATCACCCATTGACGACCGCTCGCCGACCCCACACTGGGGCCGGTGTGGGTTAGGGGCTCCGCGTGGCCGGTGAGCGCTGGACCCCCCCCCCCCGCCCCCTCCGCACGCACCTTGACCCCCGCGAGCGTGCCGCTGGTGGAGACGCTGTAGTCGAGGTAGCAGAGTGCGTCGGGCTCGCAGGGCGAGTAGAGCTGCGTGGGCCTCCGCTTGGGCAGGTCGTCTGGGGTGCGAAAGAGACGCCGCCGCTCGCCAACCACGCTCGAGGGCAGTAGTGCAGCAGCAGCACGGGTCGGTAGTGCAGGGTGATAGCGTGGTAGCGTGGTAGCGTGGTATTCCTGCGTGGTGGTGCAGTGTGGCGTGGTGGTAGTGCAGTGGGGGAGGCATTGCGATGTCTGCAGTGCGGGGTGGTAGTGCGGCAGCTCTGCGTGGTGCTGGTGGTGGTGGTGCTGGTGGTGGTGGTGCTGGTGGTGCTGGTGGTGGTGGTGGTGCTGGTGGTGGTGGTGGTGGTGCTGGTGGTGGTGGTGGTGCTGCTGGTGCTGGTGGTGCTGGTGGTGCTGCTGGTGCTGGTGGTGTGGTGGTGGTGGTGGTGGTGGTGGTGGTGGTGGTGGTGCTGCTGGTGCTGCTGGTGCTGCTGGTGCTGCTGGTGCTGCTGGTGCTGCTGGTGCTGCTGGTGCTGCTGGTGCTGCTGGTGCTGCTGGTGCTGCTGGTGCTGCTGGTGCTGCTGGTGCTGCTGGTGCTGCTGGTGCTGCTGGTGCTGGTGGTGTGGTGGTGTGGTGCTGGTGGTGTTGTGGTGGGACCTGTGTCAATGATGAGCGGCCAGGCTCTGGCGTCCACCGCGGGCCCCGCGTCCTTGGAGCGCAGCAGCTTCACCACGGCCTGCGACGTCAGGACGCAGGCCGACTTGCTCACCTGAGCCGACGCGGGTCACGGGGTCACGGGTCACAGGAGGCACACAGGTCGAGAGGTCAGGTCGCGGGGTCCGGGCGGTCTTCTGCACTCATTTTCAGAGGTGTGGTGGGGGGGGGCACTGACGTCGACATGACGTCACCGCTGTGAGGAGGGCCACCACCCGTTTAAAGCCCTTGCTGGGTTTCACAGCAGCAGCACGACGATGATGATGATCATGATGATGGGGGTGTTGTGGTGATGGGGGGTGTTGTGATGATGATGATCATGATGATGGAGGTGTTGTGGTGATGGGGGGTGTTGTGATGATGATGATCATGATGATGGGGGGTGTTGTGGTGATGGGGGGTGTTGTGATGATGATGATCATGATGATGGAGGGTGTTGTGGTGATGGGGGGTGTTGTGATGATGATGATCATGATGATGGGGGTGTTGTGGTGATGGGGGGTGTTGTGACGATGATGATCATGATGATGGGGGGTGTTGTGGTGATGATGATCATGATGATGGAGGGTGTTGTGGTGATGGGGGGTGTTGTGACGATGATGATCATGATGATGGGGGGTGTTGTGGTGATGATGATTATGATGATGGGGGGTGTTGTGATGATGGGGGGTGTTGTGATGATGATGATCATGATGATGGAGGGTGTTGTGGTGATGGGGGGTGTTGTGACGATGATGATCATGATGATGGGGGGTGTTGTGGTGATGATGATCATGATGATGGAGGGTGTTGTGATGATGGGGGGTGTTGTGATGATGATGATCATGATGATGGAGGGTGTTGTGGTGATGGGGGGTGTTGTGACGATGATGATGGGGGGGGTTTTGTGACGATGATGATGGGGGGGGTGTTGTGGCGATGATGGGGGGTGTTGTGACGATGGTGATGATGGGGGGTGTTGTGGCGATGATGATGATGGGGGGTGTTGTGACGATGATGATGATGGGGGGTGTTGTGACGATGATGATGATGGGGGGTGTTGTGACGATGATGATGGGGGGTGTTGTGGCGATGATGATGATGGGGGTGTTGTGGCGATGATGATGGTGGGGTGTTATGATGGGGGGGTGTTGTGGTGATGATGATGGGGGGGTGTTATGATGGGGGGGTGTTGTGGTGATGATGATGGGGGGGGTGTTGTGACGATGATGATGATGGGGGGTGTTGTGGCGATGATGATGATGGGGGGTGTTGTGGCGATGATGATGATGGGGGGTGTTGTGGCGATGATGATGATGGGGGTGTTGTGGCGATGATGATGGTGGGGTGTTATGATGGGGGGGTGTTGTGGTGATGATGATGGGGGGGGTGTTATGATGGGGGGGTGTTGTGGTGATGATGATGGGGGGGGTGTTGTGGTGATGATGATGGTGGGGTGTTGTGATGATGGGGGGTGTTGTGATGATGATGATGGTGGGGGGTTGTGATGATGATGGTGGGGTGTTGTGATGATGATGGGGGGTGTTGTGGTGATGATGGGGGGTGTTATGGTGATGATGGGGGGGGGGGTGTTGTGATGATGATGATGGTGGGGTGTTGTGATGATGATGGTGGGGTGTTGTGATGATGATGGGGGGTGTTGTGATGATGATGGGAGGTGTTGTGATGATGATGGGGGGTGTTGTGATGATGATGGGAGGTGTTGTGATGATGATGGAGGGGTGTTGTGATGATGGAGGGTGTTGTGATGATGGAGGGTGTTGTGATGATGATGGAGGGTGTTGTGATGATGATGGAGGGTGTTGTGATGATGATGGGGGGGTGTTGTGACGATGATGATGATGGGGGGTGTTGTGGTGATGATGGGGGGGGTGTTGTGATGATGATGATGATGGGGGGTGTTGTGATGATGATGATGGTGGGGGGTTGTGATGATGATGGTGGGGGGTGTTGTCACTCGCTGTGTGGTTGTCAGGGGCCGTACTGAAAGGCCACTAGGGGCCGCCAGTGGCCCCCGCGGCCTCGCAGCGAAGAGCGCCGGGGTTAGACGCAGGTCGGGGCAGGTTGGATGCTGCGACGGTGGCGGCAACAGCAATGGTGGAAGCGGTGGTGACGGTAGTTGCCGTAGTGGTGGTGGCCGTGGCGGTAGTTGTAGTAGTGGTGGCGGTTATGGTAGCGGTGGTGGTGGTAGTAGTGGTCACGGTAGTGGTGGTAGTTGTAGTGGTGGTGGTGATAGTGGTCACGGTAGTGGTGGTAGTTGTAGTGGTGGTGGTGATAGTGGTCACGGTAGTGGTGGTAGTTGTAGTGGTGGTGGTAGTTGTAGTGGTGGTGGTAGTTGTAGTGGTGGTGGTGGTGGTGATAGTGGTCACGGTAGTGGTGGTAGTTGTAGTGGTGGTGGTAGTTGTAGTAGTGGTGGTGGCCATGGCGGTAGTTGTAGTAGTGGTGGCGGTTATGGTAGCGGTAGTGGTGGTAGTTGTAGTGGTGGTGGTAGTTGTAGTGGTGGTGGTAGTTGTAGTGGTGGTGGTAGTTGTAGTGGTGGTGGTAGTTGTAGTGGTGGTGGTGGTGGTGGTAGTAGTGGCCACGGTAGTGGTGGTAGTCGTAGTGGTGGTGGTAGTTGTAGTGGTGGTGGTGGTGGTGGTAGTGGCCACGGTAGTGGTGGTGCGTCACACGGCGCTCGGCTGGTGGTTGTCTCGGCGCGTTGGTGGTGCGGCTACCTCGACGACCATCCTGGCGGTGGGTAGCGTCGTGGCGACGTGCTGCGGCTGTGGGGGCCGCACCGTGACGGGGACGCAGCCCACGTACAGGCAGCCGTAGAATGACGCGATCAGCTCGATCCCTGCCTCCGGCACGCACGCAGCGACAAAGACGAAGGTAAAGATCCCCCGTGTCGCCTCGACAGACTGCAGGGGCAAGTGCTGTGAGCGAGCGACACCTATGAAGGGCACACGAGAAGGTGGGTGGCCAGCACCACACCCGGACGCCTTTGTCTCCCTAGTGGCGATGTTTACACATCGCACCAGGTACTCGTTTGAGGCCGAGTCGACCTACGAGAGGCTCACGACCTGTTCGGAAAATCGTCACTGGTGTCGACCACGAGCAGGAATCGAACTCGGGTCGCCGGGTTCATAGTGCAGCGCGCTTAACACTACTACCGTGCCCCGCAGAGACGCACGCACCCACGCATGCAGACACGTGCAGTGACGCACGTGGAGACGCACGTGGAGAGACGAAGGTCCCCCGTGTAGCCTCTAACACGCCGTTGGGAAAAGTGTCATTAGCGAGTGGCAGCATCCTTTAAGGAGAGTGGGGGGGGGGGGTTCTTAAAGGCCATGCCCCCCCTCCCCACTCGCCTATCACCACCGGGAGAACCCGGGTTCGGACCCTGGTTCCAGGCGCCGCTCACGACCCAACCGGCTCCCCTCGATAGCAGTGGAGCTGACCCGTGGACGGACCGATCCCCGCCACGGCGAAGGCGGACCTTCCGGCGCGCCGCGTCTACCTGGCGCGTAGAGGAGCGCCACGTGGTCGCCGGGGTTCACCCGCGCCCTCTCCAGCAGCGCCACCGCCACCCTCTCGGCGCGCCGGTGGAGCTGCAGGCAGCTCACGGAGCTGGCCACCGCGCCCTGCACGCCACGGACAAAGGGGAGTCACGCTTATTGCCTTCACAAACTCGGGGCGGGCGAGTGCTGTTGGTAGCGAGTAGCAGCAGCAGCAGCACCTGGTGACTAGGGGTTCACTGAGACAAAGATACGCCGCTCAGCCCCCTCCCACCGGCAGAGCCACAGGCTGTTAGGGCAAGTGCTGTTAGCGAGCAGCACCTATGGCAATACGCTCAGGAGCTTGTGGGTGTCCACAATAATGAACGCCGATTTCGAGATCCAAAGATCATCGTGGTCCCTCCTCCTGGCGTTGACATTCCTCCTCCTCCTCCTCCGCCTCGAAGGCGCCGCTCGAACCGTCATCATCAACCGCATCGCCACCAATGGCAGGGCCCCGCGATGCTGCGCCGCATCCTCGTCAACGGGAAGTTAAAGACGCGGCCACAGTGCTGCGAGCGGCACACCTTGGCGTTGAGCAGGATGAAGATGACGTGGTCTGGAGTGGTGACGGCTCTCCACTGCAGCACCTCGGAGAGGTAGAGACTCTGGGTGGGGGGCAGAGAGGGCGTGGGGGGGGCAGGTGCAGAGTGAGCAACTCTCTCCGTGCGGGAGTCTGCGTTGTGAGACCAGAGAGCCACGTGCCAGAACTACTATCGCACCGTACGTAGCCAAACGTGATCATTTGGAGGTGTGGCTGATGGCTGCAGGGGTAAGATCGTGATGATGCCTGCAGGGCCTCGAGTTGTGAGACTGAGTGTCATGGCTCGTGATGATGGCTGCAGAGTGGTGAGTCCGAGTGTCATGGCTCGTGATGATGGCTGAGGAGTGGTGAGTCCGAGTGGCATGGCTCGTGATGATGGCTGCAGAGTGGTGAGTCCGAGTGGCATGGCTCGTGATGATGGCTGCAGAGTCGTGGATCGGAGTGTCATGGCTCGTGATGATGGCTGCAGAGTCGTGAGTCCGAGTGGCATGGCTCGTGATGATGGCTGCAGAGTCGTGAGTGCAAGTGGCATGGCTCGTGATGATGGCTGCAGAGTGGTGAGTCCGAGTGATATGGCTCGTGATGATGGCTGCAGAGTCGTGAATCCGAGTGTCATGGCTCGTGATGATGGCTGCAGAGTGGTGAGTCCGAGTGTCATGGCTCGTGAAGATGGCTGCAGAGTCGTGAGTCCGAGTGATATGGCTCGTGATGATGGCTGCAGAGTCGTGGATCGGAGTCATGTCTCGTGATGATGGCTGCAGAGTGGTGAGTCCGAGCGATATGGCTCGTGATGATGGCTGCAGAGTGGTGAGTCCGAGTAGCATGGTTCGTGATGATGGCTGCAGAGTGGTGAGTCCGAGTAGCATGGCTCGTGATGATTTCTGCAGAGTCGTGAGTCCGAGTGGCATGGCTCGTGATGATGGCTGCAGAGTGGTGAGTCCGAGTGGAATGGCTCGTGATGATGGCTGCAGAGTCGTGGATCGGAGTGGCATGACTCGTGATGATGGCTGCAGAGTGGTGAGTCCGAGTGGCATGGCTCGTGATGATGGCTGCAGAGTCGTAAGTCCAAGTGGCATGGCTTGTGATGATGCCTGCAGAGTGGTGAGTCCGAGTGATATGGCTTGTGATGATGGCTGCAGAGTGGTGAGTCTGAGTGATATGGCTTGTGATGATGGCTGCAGAGTTGTGAGTCCGAGTGATATGGCTTGTGATGATGGCTGCAGAGTCGTGAGTCCGAATGGCATGGCTCGTGATGATGGCTGCAGAGTGGTGAGTCCGAGTGGCATGGCTCGTGATGATGGCTGCAGAGTCGTGAGTCCGAGTCGCATGGCTCGTGATGATGGCTGCAGAGTGGTGAGTCCGAGTGGAATGGCTCGTGATGATGGCTGCAGAGTTGTGAGTCCGAGTGGCATGGCTCGTGATGATGGCTGCAGAGTGGTGGATCGGAGTCATGGCTCGTGATGATGGCTGCAGAGTGGTGAGTCCGAGTGATATGGCTCGTGATGATGGCTGCAGAGTTGTGAGTCCGAGTGTCATGGCTCATGATGATGGCTGCAGAGTCGTGGATCGGAGTCATGGCTCTGATGATGGCTGCAGAGTGGTGAGTCCGAGCGATATGGCTCGTGATGATTGCTGCAGAGTGATGAGTCCGAGTGGCATGACTCGTGATGATGGCTGCAGAGTTGTGAGTCCGAGTGGCATGGCTCGTGATGATGGCTGCAGAGTCGTGAGTCCGAGTGGCATGGCTCGTGATGATGGCTGCAGAGTGGTGAGTCCAAGTGATATGGCTCGTGATGATGGCTGCAGAGTGGTGGGTCTGAGTCTCATGGCTCGTGATGATGGCTGCAGAGTCGTGAGTCCGAGTGTCATGGCTCGTGATGATGGCTGCATAGTCGTGGATCGGAGTCATGTCTCGTGATGATGGCTGCAGAGTGGTGAGTCCGAGCGATATGGCTCGTGATGATGGCTGAGAGTGGTGAGTCCGAGTGGCATGGTTCGTGATGATGGCTGCAGAGTGGTGAGTCCGAGTGGAATGGCTCGTGATGATGGCTGCAGAGTCGTGGATCGGAGTGGCATGACTCGTGATGATGGCTGCAGAGTTGTGAGTCCGAGTGGCATGGCTCGTGATGATGGCTGCAGAGTGGTGAGTCCGAGTGGCATGGCTCGTGATGATGGCTGCAGAGTCGTGAGTCCGAGTCGCATGGCTCGTGATGATGGCTGCAGAGTGGTGAGTCCGAGTGGAATGGCTCGTGATGATGGCTGCAGAGTTGTGAGTCCGAGTGGCATGGCTCGTGATGATGGCTGCAGAGTGGTGGATCGGAGTCATGGCTCGTGATGATGGCTGCAGAGTGGTGAGTCCGAGTGATATGGCTCGTGATGATGGCTGCAGAGTTGTGAGTCCGAGTGTCATGGCTCATGATGATGGCTGCAGAGTCGTGGATCGGAGTCATGGCTCTGATGATGGCTGCAGAGTGGTGAGTCCGAGCGATATGGCTCGTGATGATTGCTGCAGAGTGGTGAGTCCGAGTGGCATGACTCGTGATGATGGCTGCAGAGTTGTGAGTCCGAGTGGCATGGCTCGTGATGATGGCTGCAGAGTCGTGAGTCCGAGTGGCATGGCTCGTGATGATGGCTGCAGAGTGGTGAGTCCAAGTGATATGGCTCGTGATGATGGCTGCAGAGTGGTGGGTCTGAGTCTCATGGCTCGTGATGATGGCTGCAGAGTCGTGAGTCCGAGTGTCATGGCTCGTGATGATGGCTGCATAGTCGTGGATCGGAGTCATGTCTCGTGATGATGGCTGCAGAGTGGTGGATCGGAGTCATGGCTCGTGATGATGGCTGCAGAGTGGTGAGTCCGAGCGATATGGCTCGTGATGATTGCTGCAGAGTTGTGAGTCCGAGTGTCATGGCTCATGATGATGGCTGCAGAGTCGTGGATCGGAGTCATGGCTCTGATGATGGCTGCAGAGTGGTGAGTCCGAGCGATATGGCTCGTGATGATTGCTGCAGAGTGGTGAGTCCGAGTGGCATGACTCGTGATGATGGCTGCAGAGTTGTGAGTCCGAGTGGCATGGCTCGTGATGATGGCTGCAGAGTCGTGAGTCCGAGTGGCATGGCTCGTGATGATGGCTGAGAGTGGTGAGTCCGAGTGGCATGGTTCGTGATGATGGCTGCAGAGTGGTGAGGTCCGAGTGGAATGGCTCGTGATGATGGCTGCAGAGTCGTGGATCGGAGTGGCATGACTCGTGATGATGGCTGCAGAGTTGTGAGTCCGAGTGGCATGGCTCGTGATGATGGCTGCAGAGTCGTGTGTCCAAGTGGCATGGCTCGTGATGATGGCTGCAGAGTTAAGGGTCCGAGTGGCATGGCTCGTGATGATGGCTGCAGAGTTGAATCCGAGTGATATGGCTTGTGATGATGCTGCAGAGTCATGAGTCCGAGTGGCATGGCTCGTGATGATGGCTGCAGAGTCGTGAGTCCAAGTGGCATGGCTCGTGATGATGGCTGCAGAGTCGTGGATCGGAGTGGCATGGCTCGTGATGATGGCTGCAGAGTCGTGAGTCCGAGTGTCATGGCTCGTGATGATGGCTGCAGAATCGTGAGTCCGAGTGATATGGCTTGTGATGATGGCTGCAGAGTCGTGAGTCCGAGTGGCATGGCTCGTGATGATGGCTGCAGAGTGGTGAGTCCGAGTGATATGGCTCGTGATGATGGCTGCAGAGTTGTGAGTCCGAGTGATGTGGCTCGTGAAGATGGCTGCAGAGTCGTGAGTCCGAGTGTCATGGCTCGTGATGATGGCTGCAGAGTCGTGGATCGCAGTGGCGTGGCTCGTGATGATGGCTGCAGAGTGGTGAGTCCGAATGTCATGGCTTCGTGAAGATGGCTGCAGAGTCGTGAGTCCGAGTGTCATGGCTCGTGATGATGGCTGCAGAGTCGTGGATCGGAGTCATGGCTCGTGATGATGGCTGCAGAGTGGTGAGTCCTAGTGTCATGGCTCGTGATGATGGCTGCAGAGTTGTGAGTCCGAGTGGCATGGCTCGTGATGATGGCTGCAGAGTGGTGGGTTCGAGCGATATAGCTCGTGATGATGGCTGCAGAGTGGTGAGTCCGAGTGTCCTGGCTCGTGATGATGGCTGCAGAGTGGTGAGTCCGAGTGACATGGCTTGTGATGATGGCTGCAGAGTGGTGAGTCCGAGTGGCATTGCTCGTGATGATGGCTGCAGAGTCGTGAGTCCGAGTGATATGGCTTGTGATGATGGCTGCAGAGTGGTGAGTCCGAGTGGCATTGCTCGTGATGATGGCTGCAGAGTCGTGGATCGGAGTGGCATGGCTCGTGATGATGGCTGCAGAGTGGTGAGTCCGAGCGATATGGCTCGTGATGATGGCTGCAGAGTGGTGAGTCCGGGTGGCATGGGTCGTGATGATGGCTGCAGAGTGGTGAGTCCGAGCGATATGGCTCGTGATGATGGCTGCAGAGTGGTGAGTCCGAGTGGCATGGCTCGTGATGATGGCTGCAGAGTCGTGAGTCCGAGTGGCATGGCTCCTGATGATGGCTGCAGAGTCGTGAGTCCGAGTGGCATGGCTCGTGATGATGGATGCAGAGTCGTGAGTCCGAGTGGAATGGCTCGTGATGATGGCTGCAGAGTGGTGAGTCCGAGTATCATGGCTCGTGATGATTGCTGCAGAGTCGGGAGTCCGAGTGTCATGGCTCGTGATGATGGCTGCAGAGTCGTGGATCGCAGTGGCGTGGCTCGTGATGATGGCTGCAGAGTGGTGAGTCCGAATGTCCATGGCTCGTGAAGATGGCTGCAGAGTCGTGAGTCCGAGTGTCATGGCTCGTGATGATGGCTGCAGAGTCGTGGATCGGAGTCATGGCTCGTGATGATGGCTGCAGAGTGGTGAGTCCTAGTGTCATGGCTCGTGATGATGGCTGCAGAGTCGTGAGTCCGAGTGGCATGGCTCGTGATGATGGCTGCAGAGTCGTGAGTCCGAGTGTCATGGCTCGTGATGATGGCTGCCAAGCCGTGGTTTTGCGCGCCGTGATGGCGCCAGTAGCGGCGGGCGTCACCTTCTTGGTGGGGTCGTCGTCGCAGGGGCCCAGGTCGCGGCCGCTCGCCTGCGCGATTCTCTTCCCGGCCACCAGACTCCCGACCATCACGGAGGCCGGGCCCACATCCACTGGCACGTGGGACGAGCCGGGGGGGGGGGTGGGAAAGGGGAGGTACAAGGGGAATGTAGCCAAGGATGGGGCGGCGGGAGGGGGGGGGGGCAGCGGGAAGTGGTGGGGGGGTGCATAGGGAATGCATGAAGACACCACGCATGGGCAAGGCCTCCAGGAATGTACCACAATCGGATAGGATGGGAGGAGGGGAATGTACCACAATAGTAAGGGGGTGAATAGGGGGGAGGGTAAGGTGGAATGTACCATGATAGGAGAAAGGTGGGGGTAGGTCGGGCATTACGTAACTGGCTGACCGGGCAAGGGAGCGGGTGAGCACACGAGCAATCGAGCGAGCGGAGCGGGCGAGCGGAGCGGGCGAGGGGAGCGGGCGAGCTGGCGGGCAGTGCCGCCCGCCCGGGAGCCACACCTGGCTGCTTCTGCCGCGGCTTGGGCAGGTTGGTGACGCAGGTGTGCGGGCACACGAGCACGTTGCAGGGGTGCAGGGTCCCCTCCAGGAAGCGCTGGCGCACCTCCGACAGGTGGATGCCGCCCAGCGGCGTCTTGGGCAGGGAGTTGGCGGGCAGCAGCGCCATGCAGTAGACGCCCACCTGGTGCACCCCGTCCACGGCCTGAGGGGAGTCGGCGAGCGCCTGTTAAGGCCGCGCCAGTCTTCAGGAGGCGGTGGTGCGGCTCGCACGGGTGTGCGCGTGGGCACACACGCGTACACGCACGCAGACAAAGTGTCCCCCGTGTGTAGCCTTCGACAGTGTCGGGGCGAGTGCTGTTGGCGAGTAGCGGCGCCTGTGAAGGCCGGCACGGCGCACGAGATTCGTGGGTGGGTGTCCAGCACCACGCCCGGTCGCCTTCGTCTCCCCAGGGGTGATGTTTAACACACCGCACCTGGGAAGGTCCAGGACCGGTTCGAATATTTGCCACCATGAATGGTTGTGAGCGGGAATCGAACTTGGGTCATCACGTTCCGGGTACAGCGCGTGCTAAGCATGACACTTCTGCCCCGCACCTCACTCACCTGCAGAACCCAGGTCATCCACAAACACTCGCTCACACTCGCTCATTTACTCACACTCGCTCACCTGCAGAACCAGGTCATCCACAAACACTCGCTCACACTCGGCTCATTCACTCACACTCGCTCACCTGCAGAACCCAGCTCATTCACTCACACTCGCTCACCTGCAGAACCCAGCTCATTCACTCACACTCGCTCACCTGCAGAACCCAGCTCATTCACTACACTCGCTTCACCTGCAGACCCAGCTCATTCACTCACACTCGCTCACCTGCAGAACCCAGCTCATTCACTCACACTCGCTCACACTGCAGAACCCAGCTCATTCACTCACACTCGCTCACCTGCAGAACCCAGCTCATTCACTCACACTCGCTCACCTGCAGAACCCAGCTCATTCACTCACACTCGCTCACCTGCAGAACCCAGCTCATTCACTCACACTCGCTCACGCTGCAGAACCCAGCTCATTCACTCACACTCGCTCACCTGCAGAACCCAGGTCATCCACAAACACTCGCTCACGACTCGCTCATTCACTCACACTCGCTCACCTGCAGAAACCCAGCTCATTCACTCACACTCGCTCACCTGCAGAACCCAGCTCATTCACTCACACTCGCTCACCTGCAGAAACCCAGCTCATTCACTCACACTCCGCTCACCTGCAGAACCCAGCTCATTCACTCACACTCGCTCACCTGCAGAACCCAGCTCATTCACTCACACTCGCTCACCTGGCAGAACCCAGGTCATCCACAAACACTCGCTCACACTCGCTCATTCACTCACACTCGCTCACCTGCAGAAACCCAGCTCATTCACATCACACTCGCTCACCTGCAGAACCCAGCTCATTCACTCACACTCGCTCAGCCTGCAGAACCCAGCTCATTCACTCATCACTCGCTCACCTGCAGAACCCAGCTCATTCACTCACACTCGCTCACACTGCAGAACCCAGCTCATTCACTCACACTCGCTCACCTGCAGAACCCAGCTCATTCACTCACACTCGCTCACCTGCAGAACCCAGCTCATTCACTCACACTACTCGCTCACCTGCAGAACCCAGCTCATTCACTCACACTCGCTCACCTGCAGAACCCAGCTCATTCACTCACACTCGCTCACCTGCAGAACCCAGCTCATTCACTCACACTCGCTCACCTGCAGAACCCAGCTCATTCACTCAGCACTCGCTCACGCTGCAGAACCCAGGTCATCCACAAACACTCGCTCACAACTCGCTCATATCACTCACTCGCTCACCTGCAGAACCCAGCTCATTCACTCACACTCGGCTCACCTGCAGAACCCAGCTCATTCACTCACACTCGCTCACCTGCAGACCCAGCTCATTCACTCACACTCGCTCACCTGCAGAACCCAGCTCATTCACTCACACTCGCTCACCTGCAGAACCCAGGTCATCCACAAACACTCGCTCACACTCGCTCATTCACTCACACCTCGCTCACCTGCAGAACCCAGCTCATTCCTCACACTCGCTCACCTGCAGAACCGCAGCTCATTCACGTCACACTCGCTCACCTGCAGAACCCAGCTCGATTCACTCACACTCGCTCACCTGCAGAACCCATCTCATTCACTCACACTCGCTCACCTGCAGAACCCAGCTCATTCACTCACACTCGCTCACCTGCAGAACCCAGCTCATTCACTCACACTCGCTCACTCTGCAGACCCCAGCTCATTCACGTCACACTCGCTCACCTGCAGAACCCAGCTCTTCACTCACACTCTCTCACCTGCAGAACCCAGGTCATCCACAAACACTCGCTCACAACTCGCTCATTCACTCACACATCGCTCACCTGCAGAACCCAGCTCATTCCTCACACTCGCTCACACTCGCTCATTCACTCACACTCGCTCACCTGCAGAACCCAGGTCATCCACAAACACTCGCTCACACTCGCATCATTCACTCACTATGCGCTCACCTGCAGAACCCAGCTCAGTCACTCACACTCGCTCACTGCAGAACCCAGGTCATCCACAACACTCGCTCACACTCGCTCATTCACTCACTCGCTCACCTGCAGAACCCAGCTCATTCACTCACACTCGCTCACCTGCAGAACCCAGGTCATCCACAAACACTCGCTCACACTCGCTCATTCACTCACACGCTCACCAGCAGAACCCAGCTCATTCACTCACACTCGCTCACCTGCAGAACCCAGTCATCCACAACACTCGCTCACACTCGCTCATTCACTCACTCGCTCACCTGCAGAACCCAGCTCATTCACTCACACTCGCTCACCTGCAGAACCCAGGTCATCCACAAACACTCGCTCACACTCGCTCATTCACTCACACTCGCTCACCTGCAGAACCCAGGTCATCCACAACACTCGCTCACACTCGTCATTCACTCACACTCTCTCGCTCACCTGCAGAACCCAGCTCATTCACTCACACTCGCTCACCTGCAGAACCCAGCTCATTCACTCACACACTCTCACCTGCAGAACCCAGCTCATTCACTCACACTCGCTCACCTGCAGAACCCAGCTCATTCACTCACACTCGCTCACCTGCAGAACCCAGCTCATTCACTCACACTCGCTCACCTGCAGAACCCAGCTCATTCACTCACACTCGCTCACCTGCAGAACCCAGCTCATTCACTCACACTCGCTCACCTGCAGAACCCAGGTCATCCACAACACTCGCTCACACTCGCTCATTCACTCACACTCGCTCACCTGCAGAACCCAGCTCATTCACTCAACTCGCTCACACTCTCGCTCATTCACTCACACTCGCTCACCTGCAGAACCCAGGTCATCCACAAACACTCGCTCACACTCGCTCATTCACTCACTCGCTCACCTGCAGAACCCAGCTCATTCACTCACACTCGCTCACCTGCAGAACCCAGTCATCCACAAACACTCGCTCACACTCGCTCATTCACTCACTCGCTCACCTGCAGAACCCAGCTCATTCACTCACCTCGCTCACCTGCAGAACCAGGTCATCCACAAACTCGCTCACACACTCGCTCATTCACTCACTCGCTCACCTGCAGAACCCAGCTCATTCACTCACACTCGCTCAACCTGCAGAACCCAGGTCATCCACAACACTCGCTCAACAACTCGCTCATTCACTCCACTCGCTCACCTGCAGAACCCAGCTCATTCACTCACACTCGCTCACAGCTGCAGAACCCATTCATCCACAACACTCGCTCACCAGACTCGCTCATTCACTCACACTCGCTCCACCTGCAGAACCCAGCTCATTCACTCACACTCGCTCACCTGCAGAAACCCAGCTCATTCACTCACACTCGATCACCTGCAGAACCCAGCTCATTCACTCACACTCGCTCACACTGCAGAACCAGCTCATTCACTCCACACTCGCTCGACGCTGCAGAACCCAGCTCATTCACTCCACTACTCGCTCACCCTGAGAACCCAGCTCATTCACTCACACTAACGCCTCACCTGCAGAACCCAGCTCATTCAACTCACACTCGCTCCACCTGCAGAACCCAGCTCATTCACTCACATCTCGCTCAACCTGCAGACCCAGGTCATCCACAAACACTCGCTCACCCAGACTCGCTCATTCACTCACACTCGCTCACCTGCAGAAACCCAGCTCATTCACTCACACGCATCGCTCAAACTACGCTCATTCACTCACACTCGCTCACCTGCAGAACCTAACAGGTCATCCACAAACACTCGCTCACACTCGCTCATTCACTCACATCGCTCACCTGCAGAACCCAGCTCATTCACTCCACACTCGCTCACCTGCAGAACCCAGGGTCATCCACAACACTCGCTCACACTCGCTCATTCACGGTCACTCGCTCACCTGCAGAACCCAGCTCATTCACTCACACTCGCTTCACCTGCGAACCCAGTCATCCACAACACTCGCTCACCACTCGATCATTCACTCACCGTGATCGCTCACACTGCAGAACCCAGCCATTCACTCACACTCGCATCAACGCTGCAGAACCCAGGTCATCCACAAACACTCGCTCACACTCGCTCATTCACTCACTCGCTCACCTGCAGAACCCAGCTCATTCACTCACACTCGCTCACCTGCAGAACCCAGGTCATCCCCACACCTCGCTCACACTCGCTCATTCACTCACACTCGCTCACCTGCAGAACCCAGCTCATTCACTCACACTCGCTCACCTGCAGAACCCAGCTCATCACTCCTCACTCGCTCACCTGCAGAACCCAGCTCATTCACTCACACTCGCTCACCTGCAGAACCCAGCTCATTCACTCACACTCGCTCACCTGCAGAACCCAGCTCATTCACTCACACTCGCTCACCTGCAGAACCCAGCTCATTCACTCACACTCGCTCACCTGCAGAACCCAGGTCATCCACAAACCTCGCTCACACTCGCTCATTCACTCACACTCGCTCACCTGCAGAACCCAGCTCATTCACACACTCGCTCACACTCGCTCATTCACTCACACTCTCGCTCACCTGCAGAACCCAGGTCATCCACAAACACTCGCTCACACTCGCTCATTCACTCACTCGCTCACCTGCAGAACCCAGCTCATTCACTCACACTCGCTCCACCTGCAGAACCCAGGTCATCCACAAACACTCGCTCACGACTCGCTCATTCACTTCACTTCGCTCACGCTGCAGAACCCAGCTCATTCACTCACAAACTCGCTCAACCTGCAGAACCCAGGTCATCCACAACACTCGCTCACGACTCGCTCATTCACTCACTCGCTCACCTGCAGAACCCAGCTCATTCACTCACACTTCGCTCACCTGCAGAACCCAGGTCATCCACAAACACGCGCTCACACTCGCTCATTCACTCACTCGCTCACCTGCAGAACCCAGCTCATTCACTCACACTCGCTCACCTGCAGAACCCGGTCATCCACAAACACTCGCTCACACTCGCTCATCACTCACACTCGCTCACAGCTGCAGAACCCAGCTCATTCACTCACACTCGCTCACCTGCAGAACCCAGCTCATTCACTCACACTCGCTCACCTGCAGAACCCAGCTCATTCACTCACACTCGCTCACCTGCAGAACCCCAGCTCATTCACGTCACACTCGCTCACCTGCAGAACCCAGCTCATTCACTCACACTCGCTCACCTGCAGAACCCAGCTCATTCACTTCACACTCCGCTCACCTGCAGAACCCGGTCATCCACAAACACTCGCTCACACTCGCTCATTCACTCACACTCGCTCACCTGCAGAACCCAGCTCATTCACTCACACTCGCTCACAACTCGCTCATTCACTCACACTCGCTCACCCTGCAGAACCCAGGTCATCCACAAACACTCGCTCACACTCGCTCATTCACTCACTCGCTCACCTGCAGAACCCAGCTCATTCACTCACACTCGCTCACCTGCAGAACCCAGGTCATCCACAAACACTCGCTCACACTCGCTCATTCACTCACGTGAGCGCTCACCTGCAGAACCCAGCTCATTCACTCACACTCGCTCACCTGCAGAACCCAGGTCATCCACAAACACTCGCTCACACTCGCTCATTCACTCACTCGCTCACCTGCAGAACCCAGCTCATTCACTCACACTCTCGCTCACCTGCAGACCCAGGTCATCCACAAACACTCGCTCACACTCGCTCATTCACTCACTCGCTCACCTGCAGAACCAGCTCATTCACTCACACTCGCTCACCTGCAGAACCCAGGTCATCCACAAACACTCGCTCACACTCGCTCATTCACTCACACTCGCTCACCTGCAGAACCCAGCTCATTCACTCACACTCGCTCACCTGCAGAACCCAGCTCATTCACTCACACTCGCTCACCTGCAGAACCCAGCTCATTCACTCACACTCGCTCACCTGCAGAACCCAGCTCATTCACTCACACTCGCTCACACTCGCTCACACTCGCTCATTCACTCACACTCGCTCACCTGCAGAACCCAGCTCATTCACTCACACTCGCTCACCTGCAGAACCCAGCTCATTCACTCACACTCGCTCATTCACTCACACTCGCTCATTCACTCACACTCGCTCACCTGCAGAACCCGAGTCATCCACTGGAAGCTGTCGTCCTCCGATGCGTCCGGGCGCTGCTCAGCCACCACCACGATCCGCTCGTCATGCAGAACGGTGACGGAGAACACTGAGATCCTGACGCACGCACAAAGACAAAGGTCCCCCATGTAGCCTTAACAGACCGTCGGGGCAAGTACGGTTAGCGAGTAGCACCTATGTTTACTACACACCGCACCAGGTACTCATTTGGGGCTGAGTCGACCTAGGCGAGGCCCAGGACCGGTCAAATAATTGTCACTGGTGTTGGCCATGAGCAGGAATCTAACTTGGGTTCGCAGGTTCCTCGCGCAGCACGTTAACCACGACACTGCCACTGCACTCACGTGTGTGTCTGTGTGTGTGCATGTGTGTGTCTGTGTGTGTACACGTGTGTGTCTGTGTGTGTGCATGTGTGTGTCTGTGTGTGTGCATGTGTGTGTCTGTGTGTGTGCACGTGCGTGTCTGTGTGTGTCCGTGCTCATTCATGTGTGCGAACACATGTGCGTGTGTATTTATGCATGTGTGTGTCCGAAAGCGTATGTGTGTATGCGTGTGGTTGCGTGCACGTGTGTGTTTGTGCATGCGTACGTGCGTGCGCGTGCGTGTATGCGCGTGTGTATATGGCAACACGAACCACTTCCTCCTCGTTGGTGCCGGACAGCAACGATGTGGTGAGCAGTGCCGTGGGGGGAGGGCCAATTTCGAGTGGCCATTCCCCTCATGGCGTTTGTAACCACCACAGCGGCCAAACGGGGGCTCTGGGTGGGTGCAAGGGGCTGGTAACCCCTCCACCTGCAATTAATTACCACTAAACCACGAATTAAAACTCTAATTAAACTTGTGCCGGAGGCCATGGTGGAAAAGGCGTCTGACGTTTCCTGGCCAAAACCCCATTTGGAGGAGCCAGGAGATTGAATCCTTACCCTCGGGCTCCTCCAGAAGGAGAGGCTGCCACTACTCTGTAGGGAGCTGGACCGTACCACCTGGATCTCTGTGGCATTCAGGAGATCCAGTGGACCATGAGGGGTGGACAGTCCTCTACTCGGGGCAGCAGACTACCAGACAAAAGGGAGTGGCTCTTCTTCTGAACAAAAAGAATGCAGGGGGGCGTGGGAGCGTGGCGGTGAGGCGTGGGAAGCTGTAGCCCCAGGCTACTTTGGGCTCGCCTTCCCATCAACCAGAGGCGAGGAATGGTGGTCGTGGTTACTTATGCCCCACCGAAGGACGAACATCCGTGGAGGGATGCAGGCAAGGCCAATGAGTCGGATGCCTTATATGACCTCCGGTCACAGGTGCGAGCAAGAAGTGGCCCCGAGGCATAGCGTAATCTTGTTGGGCGACTTCAATGCCCAAGTTGATCATGATGCTGACACCTATTCTGGAGTGATTACAAGGCATGGGCCAGATCAGCTCAATAACAATGGTACTAGGCTGCTAGATTTTTGTGCAGCCCATGGGCTTGTAATTACCAACACGCCGTTCCGGCAACGGCGCATCCACACAACATCATGGATGCATGCCGGGTCCAAGCAAGAACATCTGCTGGACTACATAGTGACGGAACAGTGGATATGGGCCCATGTTCTTGACACCAGGACCTACCGTGGAGCTCATCTGCCCAATGACCATCGACTTGTCATCTGTAAGATGCGCCTGCCATTCTTCCACTCCGGTGGTGGGTGTACACTCATGACCCCATTCAACCCTTAGTGACATGGTCTCGGCTAGCTGATTAAAGTTGCAAGCGAGAATTTCATCATCGCTTGCGGCTGGGGTTGGCATCGTCCCCCACTCCTCCTGATGTCGAGGGGAAATGGGCGATGTTTAGGACTATGGCACATGCAGCTACAATGGCTGCTTTGGGTACGCAGTTCAGACCTCCCAAGAGACCCTGGCTGACAGAGGAGGTGTTCAGGCTGGCTGAGAAAAAACGAGGCCCACCCTCATCGTCTACAGCATCCCACGTCAGAGAATGAGGAGGCTTATGGCAGCCTTCGCTCAGAGGCTCGGAGAGCCGTGAGGTGCTGCAAGGATGGGTGGTGGAGGCGGGAAGCTGTGGAAATGAAATCCTGCCTCAATGGCCCATGATCACAAATCACTCTTTAACTTCATAAAAAAAATAACTTGCAGTGCCACACCTATTACCATCATGACGGGAAAGAATGGTCATACAATCTCTAACCCCTAGGAACAGGTTTGCGGAGCATTTCTGTGAGGACCTGGGTGAAGGGAAATGCCTCAGCCTGGAAAACATCGTGGCACAAAGTGGGGATGACCCTGCTGAGGCTGCGGTGCCTCAAATATTGGAAGAAGTCACCCCCTGTGAGTGGCTGGCTGAGGTGCCATCTGTTGAGGAAGTACTCAAGGTGCCTTTCCTGGTCTGAGACCAGGAAACGCACCGGGCAGATATGAGCTCCCAAACGAAATGCTGAGGGAGGGTGGCGTTTGTGCACAGACTGCCCTATATGACATCATACCAGTCTGGACCACTAGATGGGTTGTGCAGGATTGGAAGGATGCCTGGTGGTCTCCGTCTTTAAGAAGGGGGACCGCACAGACTGTAACAACTACAGGGGCATCTCACTCCTCAGTGTGCCGGGAAAGGTTCTGGCAAGGGTTATTCAACATCGCCTTGCAAGGCACACTGAGGAGAGGCTTGCGGAGCCCTAATGCGGTTTCAGGAAAGGGTGGTCCTGCACAGATGCCATATTTTCTGTTTGTCTGCTACAGCAGAAGTGTAGGGAATTCCAACAAGACCTGCAGCTCTGCTTTATTGACCTGGTCAAGGCCTATGATACCATCAGTAGGCCTGGGCTCTGGGTTGCTCTTTGTGCTTTCAGAGTCCCTGACTCTCTGCTCACGATCATTAAGGACCTTCATGATGGTGAGCGGGCCCGGGTAAAACTACGTGGCCAGTAGTCGGAGCCATTCCCTGTTCACCTTGGGTGCGACAGGAATGTCCTCTGTCTCCCACATTACTTAACATATATTTCGACCACGTAGTTCGTGAAGCCTTCAATGGCTCTACCGAAGGAATTTCCATCTGATACAGATATAATGGGAGGCTGATCGAGGAGGAGTTGGAGGCGCTGGTGCTGAACCTGGAGCTAGCCACTATCAGCCCCACCAAAACTAAGCACCTGCCTGGGTATTTTGTACCATCGGACACTCCGCCCCCACAACTCCCAATTGGTGATAGGGCAGTTGTGGAGAGAGTGGAGAGTTTTCACACACCTGGGCAGTGTGCTTATGACTGGCTCCAGTTTAACAGCAGAGGTCTCACTCCGAATCAGTCGAGCGGCAAAATCTTTTCATCGGTTGCGTAACGCTGCGTGGAAGCTACCTGGTCTGTCGCTCCGCACTAAGCTTCAGGTCTTCTCGGCCACGGTCATTCCCTCCCTTCTCTACGCTTGCGAAACGTGGACCCCCCTAATGGAACATCTTCGCCGGTTAGAAACATTTCGGCTGGCCTGCCTACGATCCATCCTGGGTTTAACCAGGCTGGATTGTGTGAGGAGCTCACAAATCCTTGAAAGATCTGGGCAAGGTCCCATCGGTGCCGTGTCTGCCCCGTGACCTCCTGCCAGCGGGCGTTCCACACTTCACGTGGCCTCAACGTGCACATAGCCTGGCACAAGCGCCGTGGCGAGGCTGGTTGTTGCGTGTACGTGCGTGCGTGTACATGCCTCCCCCGGAAGACGAACTTGCCGGGCTCCACAGCAAGCACGGTGGCCACGACGTCGTCCGAGCTGTGGCGCCGGCCACTCACCAACATGGAGCCGTCCACACGGCTCACCACGCTCACCATACCGGCCTGGCGGAGTTACCCCGCCACACAGGGGTCACACCGTAACACAGGGGGTCACACAGCCACACAGGGGGTCACACCGCAACACAGGGTCACACCGTCACACAGGGGGTCATACCGCAACACAGGGGTCGCACCGTAACACAGGGGTTCACACAGCCACACAGGGGTCACACCGCAACACAGGGTCACACCATCACACAGGGGTCACACCGCAACAACAGGGGTCACACCGCCACACAGGGGTCACACCGCCACACAGGGTCACACCGCCACACAGGGGTCACACCACCACACAGGGGTCACACCGCCACACAGGGGTCACACCGCCACACAGGGGTCACACCGCCACACAGGGGTCACACCGTCACACAGGGGTCACACCGCCACACAGGGGTCACACCGCCACACAGGGGTCACACCGCCACACAGGGGTCACACCACCACACAGGGGTCACACCACCACACAGGGGTCACCAGGGTTGAGTCCACCACGCACAGCCCCTGTGAATCCTCTGCTCTGGTGAATCTGGAGACTCGAGGTTTTAAGAATTGGGAACCTGGGATCTGAGAATCTAGGATTTCACAAATGTATGATCTGATATATGGGATCTGTGCATCTGTTGATCTGTGGATTTGCTGATCTGGGATCTGTTGATCTGTGATTCTGTGGATCTAGAATCTGGAATCTGTGCTGCGAGTGAGAGGGGGAGCTGGCAGATGGGGTGGGGGGTGGGGGGGGGTGGGGGTGGGGGCAACTCACGGGCGACACGAAGCCCAGGAGTCCGGTACGCACGAACGGGAACTCTGCGTCCACCGGCACGCCCGACTCGCTGAGCGGTGAGAGCTGTGCCGGGAGGGGGGGGGTGGGAGATGAGACGCCGTGCGGAGTCGGCACGGCCTCGCCCAGCAGAGGCATCGCCGCAAGTGACGGGGTGGTGGTAGTGTGGTGTGGTGGTGGTGCAGTGTAGCGGTGTGGTGGTAGTGTGGTGGTGGTGGTGTGGTGGTGGTGTGGTGGTGTGGTGGTGGTGCAGTGTGGTGGTGGTGCGGTGCAGTGTAGCGGTGTGGTGGTGGAGCGGTGCAGTGTAGCGGTGTGGTGGTAGTGTGGTGTGGTGGTAGTGTGGTGTGGTGGTGTGGTGGTGGTGTGGTGTAGCTGTGTGGTGGTGTGGTGGTGGTGCGGTGTAGCGGTGTGGTGGTAGTGTGGTGTAGCGGTGTGGTGGTAGTGTGGTGTGGTGGTGGTGCAGTATAGCGGTGTAGTGGTAGTGTGGCGTGGTGGTGGTGCGGTGTAGCGGTGTGGTGGTGGTGTGGTGTGGTGGTGGTACGGTGTAGCGGTGTGGTGGTAGTGTGGTGTGGTGGTGGTGTAGCGGTGTGGTGGTGGTGCGGTGTAGTGGTGGTGCAGTGGTGGTGGTGCGGTGCACCTCAAAGCAGGCCTTGGTGATGCCGGGCAGGGCAAAGTAGCCGGAGGCGGTGCCGCCGGAGCTCACGCAGAGTTCCCCCAGCTCGTCCTCCCGGCAGAGCGCCGGTGCGTCCGTCCTCACCACGCTCACCACCGCTACGGCACACGCACACCACCAGTACCGTCACACACTCACCACGCTCACCACCAGTACCGTCACACACTCACCACCAGTACCGTCACACAATCACCACCAGTACCGTCACACACTCACCACCAGTACCGTCACACGCTCACCACGCTCACCACCAGTACCGTCACACACTCACCACGCTCACCACCAGTACCGTCATACGCACACCACCATTATTGACACACACTGAGACACACTTACCACGTTATGGCAGTGATGGTGGGGATGGCGGTGATGGCAGTGGTGATGGCAGTGGTGATGGCAGTGGTGATGGTAGCAGTGATGATGGTGGTGGTGGTGCAGGAGGTGGTGATGGTAGTGGTGAAGGAGATGGTATCGGCACTGAACGGGTGCGAGGGGCTGGTAACCCCTCCACCTTCAATTTAATTACCACAAAACCACGTGAAAAATATCCAACTAAGCTTGCGCCGGACCCCATTTGGCGGAGCCAGGAGACTGTGGTACAGGAGGATGTGAAGCTGAGTGGACTTGCCAATGACTGATACCAGCGGTGTCAAAATCGGCCTCTGTAGAAGAGGCTCGTGAAGGACTGCTACTGGAGGCAGTCGCCCTCCAACAACAACGGAGGGCGGAGGAGCGACGCTCAGAACAACGAGCGGAGCGCCAAGTGGCTAAAACACAGCATGTTGGCACAGTAGGGGGCACAGGTGGTGCATCAGCCAGTCATCTCAGTCAGTCGACCCGTGGCACCTGGGTCTGGCCCCGTGACCTCCTGCCAGCGGGCGTTCGACACATCACGTGGCCTCAACGTGCACATAGCCTGGCACAAGCGCCGTGGTGACGTCACCGCCACTTCGTGGTGAATGGCGGTTGTTGTTATCGGCGGTGGTGGCGGCGGTGGTGGCGGCGATGGTAGCGGCGATGTTATCGGCGATGGTAGCGGCGATGTTATCGGCGATGGTGGCGGCGATGGTAGCGGTGCACGCGAGTCTCACCACCGGGCAGGGCCGGGGCCGATGTCGAGCACGGCGAGGAGCGAGGAGCGTGCCGCGCCGCGTCTCTCCGCACGCCGAACGCCGTGGCTGAGCGCGCCAAGACTCAGCGTGGTGCGCTCCGGGGTCCCGCCCGGCTCCTCGCCCGCCTGCCGGGGAAACGCACAAACACGGCAAGGATCCCCCACCCCCTCCGTGTAAAACTCTAAATAAAAACTATGAACTATCAAACGAGGCACCCACTGAGCTATGTAGCTCTTTTTCAGAAGCGACCTGGTTATCACAAATGATATCCCTGTTATCTGGCCACAAATGATGGCTCAGTGACCTGGCCACAAATGATATTAGTGACCTGGCCACAAATGATGGCTAAGTGACCTGGCCACAAATGATATCTCAGTGACCTGGCCACAAATGTAATCTCATTGACCTGGCCACAAATTATATCTAAGTGGCCTGGCCACAAATGATGGCTAAGTGACCTGGCCACAAATTATATCTCAGTGACCTGGCCACAAATGTAATCTCATTGACCTGGCCACAAATTATATCTAAGTGGCCTGGCCACAAATGATGGCTAAGTGACCTGGCCACAAATGATATTAGTGACCTGGCCACAAATGATGGCTAAGTGACCTGGCTACAAATGATATCTGTGACCTGGCTACAAATGATGGCTAAGTGACCTGGCCACAAATGATATCTCAGTGACCTGGCCACAAATGATGGCTAAGTGACCTGGCCACAAATGTAATCTCATTGACCTGGTCACAAATTAAATCTAAGTGGCCTGGCCACAAATGATGGCTAAGTGACCTGGCCACAAATTATATCTCAGTGACCTGGCCACAAATGTAATCTCATTGACCTGGCCACAAATTATATCTAAGTGGCCTGGCCACAAATGATGGCTAAGTGACCTGGCCACAAATTATATCTCAGTGACCTGGCCACAAATGTAATCTCATTGACCTGGCCACAAATTATATTTCAGTGACCTGGCCACAAATGATAGCCCAAAAACAATGGGCTCCCCAGCGGAGGTGGGCCTCCTTGTGGAGGTAAGTGTCCATATAGCGGAGATTGCCTTCTTCGGTGAAATTGTCCTCGTGGAGGTTGGGCCCTCTCGTGGAGGTGCGTCTCCCCCTTGCGGACAGGTGGGCGCTATCGCGGATGTGATCCCCCTCGTGGAGGCAGTCCCCTTTGTGGAGTTGAGCCCCATCGCGGAGTCGTGTTTGAAATAGTGACCCACCTTTATCTAAAACTATGTTATTTTACCAGTTAAGGCCCCACTGAGCTAATTAGATATTTTTTGTCAGAAGCGACCTGGCCGCAAATGATGGCTCAACGAAGTGGCGGCTTAGCAAGTGGAAATTTACGGCAGCCAAATCCTCTGAATGCGCGTCGATTCTAAATCGTGGACGAAAGAAACCGGAGGATCCGGAGAAAAATCCACGGGGGGCAAGCGCCGTTGGCAAGGGGCACCGACGAAGGCCGGCACGGCACACGCACGAGGGGGCGGTGTGGCCGGGCGGTGTGGCCGGGCGGTGTGGCCGTGCGGTGTGGCCGGGCGGTGTGGCCGTGCGGTGTGACCGTGCGGTGTGGACGGGCGGTGTGGCCGGGCGGTGTGGCCGGAACGTCGCTCCGGGGCCACACAGAGAGCACCGCGCTAACCACGACATCGCCGCTCCCCACTACTCTCACCAAGACAAAGGTCCTCCGTGTAGCCTGTAACAGACTGTTGGGGCAAGTGCTGTTTGCGAGTAGCAGCGCCTATGAAGGCCGGGACAGTGCACGAGGTGGGGTGGCCACCTTCGTCTCTACAGCTCTGATGTTGAACCTTGACTTAAAGCTTTCGTGACTGCAGGAATTCATATTCTGTGTATCTTTCGGTAAAGTCACGTAGATCGAAACGTCGTAGTTTTTTGTTTATTTTATTTTATCAATTTGAACCTATCTACGTGACTTTACCGAAAGACCCAACGAATTTAGCTCTGATGTTTACTACACACCGCACCAGGTACTCATTTGAGGCTGAGTCGACCTAGGGGAGGGCCCAGCACTGGTTCAGATAATAATCGAGTGGGTGAGCGCCGAGTGGGTGAGTGTTGAGTGGGTGAGCGCCGAGTGGGGTGAGTGCCGAGTGGGTGAGCGTTGAGTGGGTGAGCGTTGAGTGGGTGAGCGTTGAGTGGGTGAGCGTTGAGTGGGTGAGCGTTGAGTGGGTGAGCGTTGAGTGGGTGAGCGCCGAGTGGGTGAGCACTGAGTGGGTGAGCGTTGAGTGGGTGAGTGTTGAGTGGGTGAGTGGTTGAGTGGGTGAGTGTTGAGTGGGTGAGCGTTGAGTGGGTGAGTGTTGAGTGGGTGAGCGCCGAGTGGGTGAGCATTGAGTGGGTGAGCGCCGAGTGGGTGAGTGTTGAGTGGGTGAGCGTTGAGTGGGTGAGCGCCGAGTGGGTGAGCGCCGAGTGGGTGAGTGTTGAGTGGGTGAGTGTTGAGTGGGTGAGCGTTGAGTGGGTGAGCGTTGAGATGGGTGAGCGTTGAGTGGGTGAGCGCCGAGTGGGTGAGTGTTGAGTGGGTGAGCGTTGAGTGGGTGAGCGTTGAGTGGGTGAGCGTTGAGTGGGTGAGCGCCGAGTGGGTGAGCGCCGAGTGGGTGAGTGTTGAGTGGGTGAGCGCCGAGTGGGTGAGCGTTGAGTGGGTGAGCGTTGAGTGGGTGAGCGTTGAGTGGGTGAGCGTTGAGTGGGTGAGCGTGGAGTGGGTGAGCGTTGAGTGGGTGAGCGTTGAGTGGGTGAGCGTTGAGTGGTTGAGCGTTGAGTGGGTGAGCGTTGAGTGGGTGAGCGTTGAGTGGGTGAGCGTTGAGTGGGTGAGCGTTGAGTGGTGAGCGTCTCGTTCACCGCCGGATGGCGACGGTGAGCCCCTCTGCTGAGTAGGCGCAGGGCTGCACGGCCTCGGGGCGCAGGCCCCGGCACCGGAACGTCGACACGAAGGCGTCGCAGGACGACAGCGACCCTGGGGGCCGGGGTCACGTGGGGGTCACGCGGGGGTCACGGGTCATTAGGTCAATGCCGAGGAACCACGGACAAGAGGGGAGAGGCAGCAGCAGCCAGCGCCATGCGCAACTCCGCTCACTCTCACAAAGACAAAGGTTCCCTGTGTAGTCTTAACAGACTGTAGGGGCAAGTTCTGTTCGCGTGCGCCTATGAAGGCTGACACGGCACACGAGGGGGTGGGTGACCAGCACCACGCCCGGTCGCCTTTGTCTCCCCAGTGGCGATGTTTACTACACACCGCACCAGGTACTCGTTTGAGTCGATCGAGGGGAGGACGCCCACGTTCGGTTCCGATAATCGTCACTGGCGTTGGCCGTGAGTGGGAATTGAACTCGGGTCACTGGGTTCATAGCGCAGCGTAGCACTCACCGCCTCACTACCGCTCCCCACACACTCGCACACGCTCACAGACTCACTCTCTCTCAGGCACACGCTCACAGACTCACTCTCTCACTCACAGACTCACTCTCTCACTCAGGCACACTCTCTCACTCTCACTCGGGCACACTCTCTCTCTCACTCAGGCACACTCTCTCACTCAGGCACACTCTCTCTCATTCAGGCACACGCTCACAGACACTCTCTCTCACTCAGGCACACTCTCTCTCTCACTCAGACACACTCTCTCACTCACTCAGGCACACTCACTCACGCACACTCTCTCTCTCACTCACGCACACTCTCTCTCTCACTCGGGCACACTCTCTCTCTCACTCGGGCACACTCTCTCTCTCACTCGGGCACACTCTCTCTCTCACTCGGGCACACTCTCTCTCTCACTCGGGCACACTCTCTCTCTCACTCGGGCACACTCTCTCTCTCACTCGGGCACACTCTCTCCCTCACTCAGGCACACTCTCTCTCACTCAGGCACACGCTCACAGACACTCTCTCTCTCACTCAGGCACACACTCTCACTCACTCAGGCACACTCTCTCTCTCACTCAGGCACATGCTCACAGACACTCTCTCTCTCACTCAGGCACACTCTCTCTCACTCAGGCACACCGCTCACAGACACTCTCTCACTCACTCAGGCACACACTCTCACTCACTCAGGCACACACTCTCACTCACTCAGGCACACTCTCTCTCTCTCTCACTCAGCACATGCTCACAGACACTCTCTCTCTCACTCAGGCACACACTCTCACTCACTCAGGCACACTCTCTCTCACTCTCACTCAGGCACACGCTCACAGACACTCTCTCTCACTCAGGCACTCTCTCTCTCTCACTCAGGCACTCTCTCTCTCTCTCACTCAGGCACACTCTCTCTCTCTCTCACTCAGACACACTCTCTCTTTCACTCTCACTCAGGCACACTCTCTCTCTCTCTCACTCAGGCACACACTCTCTCACTCAGGCACACGCTCACAGACACTCTCTCTCTCACTCTCACACTCTCTCTCTCACTCACTCAGGCACACTCTCTAATGAACAGGGTGAGAGAACACACAAACTCCACGCAGCAAGGTGCCCGAGCCAGGAATCGAACCCAGGCTCTGCTTTCGGTGATGGGGGAAGATCGATGACGATGTTGACGACGACGATGACGATGACAACAATAATTGTGATGGCGACAATGCTGATGATCAAAAACATGCCGACGATGATGACGACTAATGCCGACGACAATAATCACGCCGCCGCCGCCGCCGCCGCCGCCGCTCACAGGGGTTGGCAGCGTCAGCGACGAGCAGCGAGCGCAGCGAGCCGAGCTCCACGTCCTTCTGCTCCTGGAAGCCCACCATGGCCCAGTGCAGGTCGCGCGACTTCACACACGCCACGCTCGCTGGGGCGGTGGCGTGGCACGGGCGGTGGCGTGGCACGGGTGGGCGTGGCACGGGCGGTGGCGTGGCACGGGCGGTGGCGTGGCACGGGCGGTGGCGTGGCACGGGCGGTGGCGTGGCACGGGCGGTGGCGTGGCACGGGCGGTGGCGTGGCACGGGGTCAGAAGACGGCACAGGGGGTGAGGGCGGGACAGGGAGACACGGCGGTGGTGAGAGACGAGGCGGTGCAGTGGTCCGTGAGTGACGACGCAATACGGTATTTATAGCGTACACGTGGTGTGTGTGGTGTGGTGTGGTGTGTGTGTGGTGTGTGTGTGGTGTGTGTGGGTGTGTGTGGTGTACGCGTGTGTGTGTGGTGTGTGTGTAGTGGTGTGTGGTGTGTGTGGGGTGTGTGTGGTGTGTGTGTGTGTGGGGTGTGTGGTGTACGTGGTGTACGTGTGGTGTACGTGGTGTACGCGGTGTGTGTGGTGTACGCGGTGTGTGTGGTGTACGCGGTGTGTGTGGTGTACGCGGTGTGTGTGGTGTACGTGGTGTACGCGGTGTGTGTGTACGCGGTGTGTGTGTGTGTGGTGTGTGCGGTGTACGTGGTGTACGCGGTGTGTGTGGTGTACGCGGTGTGTGTGGTGTACGCGGTGTGTGTGGTGTACGTGGTGTACGCGGTGTGTGTGGTGTACGTGTGTGTGTGGTGTACGTGGTGTGTGCGGTGTACGTGGTGTACGCGGTGTGTGTGGTGTACGTGGTGTGTGTGGTGTACGTGGTGTACGTGGTGTATGTGGTGTACGCGGTGTGTGTGGTGTACGTGGTGTGTGTGGTGTACGCGGTGTGTGTGGTGTACGTGGTGTACGCGGTGTGTGTGGTGTACGCGGTGTGTGTGGTGTACGTGGTGTGTGTGGTGTACGTGGTGTACGCGGTGTGTGTGGTGTACGTGGTGTGTGTGGTGTACGTGGTGTGTGCGGTGTACGAGGTGTACGCGGTGTGTGTGGTGTACGCGGTGTGTGTGGTGTACGTGGTGTGTGTGGTGTACGTGGTGTACGCGGTGTGTGTGGTGTACGTGGTGTGTGTGGTGTACGTGGTGTGTGTGGTGTACGCGGTGTGTGTGGTGTACGTGGTGTACGTGGTGTATGTGGTGTGTGCACTGCGTTGGATCACGCGCCGTGTGCGCGGTATGCCGCGTGTAGTGTCGTGTGTTGTGGTGTGCTGTGTGCGGAGTGCTACGTGTGGTGTGTAGCATGCTGTGGTGTGTAGCATGCTGTGGTGTGTAGCATGCTGTGGTGTGTAGCATGCTGTGGTGTGCTGCGTGTGGTGTGTAGCACGCTGTGGTGTGCCGCGTGCGGCGAGTGGTGTGCCGTGCCGGGATCTCCAACCTTTGTAAGCGAACACCTTCTGCAGCCAGGACACGGGGTTGACCTTCATGAGGGCGTAGGGGACGCACACCACGTGCAGCATGCAAAACACTCCCTGCAGGGCACAGCACCCCCCAGTAACACTCGCAACAACACCCCCCAGCAACACTCGCAACAACACCCACCAGCAACACTCGCACAACACCCCCCCCAGTAAACACTCGCAACAACACCCACCAGCAACACTCGCAACAACACCCCCCCAGTAACACTCGCAACAACACCCCACCAGCAACACTCGCAACAACACCCCCCAGTAACACTCGCAACAACACCCCCCCGTAACACTCGCAACAACACCCCACCAGCAACACTCGCAACAACACCCCACCAGTAACACTCGCAACCACACCCCACCAGTAACACTCGCAACAACACCCCACCAGCAACACTCGCAACCACACCCCACCAGCAACACTCGCAACCACACCCCACCAGTAACACTCGCAACAACACCCCACCAGCAACACTCGCAACAACACCCCACCAGCAACACTCGCAACAACACCCCCCAGTAACACTCGCAACAACACCCCACCAGTAACACTCGCAACAACACCCCCCCCCCAGTAACACTCGCAACAACACCCCCCCAGCAACACTCGCAACAACACCCCCCCCCCAGTAACACTCGCAACAACACCCCCCAGTAACACTCGCAACAACACCCCCCCCCCCAGTAACACTCGCAACAACACCCCCCCAGCAACACTCGCAACAACACCCCCCCAGTAACACTCGCAACAACACACCCCCCCCCCCAGTACACTCGCAACAACACCCCCCCCCAGTAACACTCGCAACAACACCCACCAGTAACACTCGCAACAACACCCCACCAGCAACACTCGCAACAACACCCCCCCAGTAACACTCGCAACAACACCCCCCCAGTAACACTCGCAACAACACCCCCCCAGTAACACTCGCAACAACACCCACCAGCAACACTCGCAACAACACCCCCCCCAGTAACACTCGCAACAACACCCCCCCCAGTAACACTCGCAACAACACCCCACCACAACACTCTCAACAACACCCCACCAGCAACACTCGCACCACACCCCCCCAGTAACACTCGCAACACCCCCCCCCAGTAACACTCGCAACAACACCCCCCCAGTAACACTCGCAACAACACCCCCCCAGTAACACTCGCAACAACACCCCACCAGTAACACTCGCAACAACCCCCCCCAGTAACACTCGCAACAACACCCCCCCAGTAACACTCGCAACACACCCCCCCAGTAACACTCGCACACACACCCCCAGCAACACTCGCAACAACACCCCCCCAGTAACACTCGCAACAACACCCCACCAGCAACACTCGCAACAACACCCCCCCAGTAACACTCGCAACAACACCCCCCCAGTAACACTCGCAACAACACCCACCATCAACACTCGCAACAACACCCCCCCAGTAACACTCGCAACAACCACCCCCCCAGTAACACTCGCAACCACACCCCCCCAGTAACACTCGCACAACACCCGCACCAGCAAACACTCGCAACAACACCCCACCAGCAACACTCGCAAACAACACCCCACCAGCAACACTCACAACAACACCCCCCAGTAACACTCGCAACAACACCCCCCCAGTAACACTCGCAACAACACCCCCCCAGTAACACTCGCAACAAACACCCCACCCAGTACACTCGCAACAACACCCCCACAGTAACCACTCGCAACCACACCCCCCCCAGTAACACTCGCAACAACACCCCCCCCACAACACTCGCAACAACACCCCCCCAGTAACACTCGCAACAACACCCCCCCAGTAAACACTCGCAACAACACCCCCAGTAACACTCGCAACAACACCCCCCCAGTAACACTCGCAACAACACCCCCACAGTAACACTCGCAACAACACCCCCCCAGTAACACTCGCAAACAACACCCCCCCAGTAACACTCGCAACAACACCCACCAGTAACACTCGCAACAACACCCCCCCAGTAACACTCGCAACACACCCCCCCAGTAACACTCGCAACAACACCCCCCCCAGTAACACTCGCAACAACACCCCCCCCAGTAACACTCACAACAACACCCCCCCAGTACACTCGCAACAACACCCCCCCCAGTAACACTCACAACACACCCCCCCCAGTAACACTCACAACAACACCCCCCCAGTACACTCGCAACAACACCCCCCAGTAACACTCGCAACAACACCCCCCAGTAACACTCGCAACACCCCCCCCAGTAACACTCGCAACAACACCCCCCAGTAACACTCGCAACAACACCCCCCCAGCAACACTCGCAACAACACCCCCCAGCAACACTCGCAACAACACCCCCCAGTAACACTCGCAACAACACCCCCCAGCAACACTCGCAACAACACCCCCCCCAGTAACACTCGCAACAACACCCCCCCAGTAACACTCGCAACAACACCCCCCCCCCCAGTAACACTCGCAACAACACCCCACCAGCACACTCGCAACAACACCCCACCAGCAACACTCGCAACAACACCCCCCCCCCAGTAACACTCGCAACAACACCCCCCCAGTAACACTCGCAACAACATCCCCCAGTAACACTCGCAACAACACCCCCCAGTAACACTCGCAACAACACCCCCCCCAGTAACACTCGCAACAACACCCCCCCCCCCCCAGTAACACTCGCAACAACACCCCCCCCCCCCCAGTACACTCGCAACAACACCCCCCCCCAGTAACACTCGCAACAACACCCCCCCAGCAACACTCGCAACAACACCCCCCAGTAACACTCGCAACAACACCCCCCCCCCAGTAACACTCGCAACAACACCCCCCCAGTAACACTCACAACAACACCCCCCCCAGTAACACTCGCAACAACACCCCCCCAGTAACACTCGCAACAACACCCCACCAGCAACACTCGCAACAACACCCCCCCCCCAGTAACACTCGCAACAACACCCCACCAGCAACACTCGCAACAACACCCCCACAGTAACACTCGCAACACACCCCCCCCCCCCCCAGTAACACTCGCAACAACACCCCACCATCAACACTCGCAACAACACCCCCCCCCATAACACTCGCAACAACCACCCCACCAGCAACACTCGCAACAACACCCCCCCCAGTAACACTCGCAACAACACCCCCCCCAGCAACCTCGCAACACACCCCCCCAGTAACACTCGCAACAACACCCCCCCAGTAACACTCGCAACAACACCCCCCCAGTAACACTCGCAACAACACCCCCCCAGTAACACTCGCAACAACACCCCCCCAGTAACATCTCGCAACAACACCCCCCCCCAGTAACTCGCAACAACACCCCCCCAGTAACACTCGCAACAACACCCCCCAGTAACACTCGCAACAACACCCCCCCAGCAACTCACAACAACACCCCCCCAGTAACACTCGCAACAACACCCCCCCAGCACTCCACACACCCCCCAGTACACTCGCAACAACACCCCCCCAGTAACACTCGCAACAACACCCCCCAGTAACACTCGCAACAACACCCCCCCCCAGTAACACTCGCAACAACACCCCCCCAGTAACACTCGCAACAACCCCCCCAGCAACCTCGCAACAACACCCCACCAGCAACACTCGCAACAACCCCCCCCCCCCCCCGTAACACTCGCAACAACACCCCACCAGCAACACTCGCAACAACACCCCCCCCCCCCAGTAACACTCGCAACAACACCCCCACCAGCAACACTCTCGCAACAACACCCCCCCAGCAACACTCGCAACACACCCCCCCCCCCCCCCAGCAACACTCGCAACAACACCCCCACCAGCAACACTCGCAACAACACCCCCCCCAGTAACACTCGCAACAACACCCCACCAGCACACTCGCAACAACACCCCCCCCCCCCCCAGTAACACTCGCAACAACACCCCCCCAGTAACACTCGCAACAACACCCCCCCCCCAGTAACACTCGCAACAAACACCCCACCAGCAACACTCGCAACAACACCCCCCCAGTAACACTCGCAACAACACCCCCCCCCCCCCCCCCAGTAACACTCACAACAACACCCCACCAGCAAACTCGCCAAAACACCCCCCCAGTAACACTCGCAACAACACCCCCCACAGCAACACTCGCAACAACACCCTCCAAGTAACACTCGCAAACCACACCCCCCAGCAACATCGCAACAACACCCCCCAGTAACACTCGCAACAACACCCCCCCATTAACACTCGCAACAACACCCCACCAGCAACACTCGCAACAACACCCCCCCGAGCAACACTCGCAACAACACCCCCCCAGTAACACTCGCACCACACACCCCCCCAGCAACACTCGCAACACACCCCCACCAGCACACTCGCACACACCCCCCCAGTAACACTCGCAAACAACACCCCACCCCAGCAACACTCTCAACAACACCCCCACCAGCACACTCGCAACAACACCCCACCCCCCCCAGTAACACTCGCAACAACACCCCACCAGCAACCACTCGCAACAACACCCCCCCCCAGTAACACTCGCAACAACACCCCCCCCCCCCCCCCAGTAACACTCTCAACAACACCCCACCAGCAACACTCGCAACATACCCCCCCCAGTACACTCGCAACAACACCCCACCAGCAACACCTCGCACAACACCCCCCCAGTAACACTCGCACAACACCCCCCCCCCCCAGTAACACTCGCAACAACACCCCACCAGCAACACTCGCAACAAACACCCCCCCAGTAACACTCGCAAAACACCCCCCCCCCCCAGTAACACTCGCAACAACACCCCACCAGCAACACTCGCAACAACACCCCCCCAGTAACACTCGCAACAACACCCCCCCAGTAACACTCGCAACAACACCCCCACAGCAACACTCGCACAACACCCTCCAAGTAACACTCGCAACCACACCCCCCAGCAACAATCGCAACAACACCCCCCCAGTAACACTCGAACACACCCCCCAGTAACACTCCGCAACAACACCCCCCCAGTAACACTCACAACAACCACCCCCCCAGTAACACTCGCAACAACACCCCCCCAGCAACACTCGCAAACAACACCCCCACCAGCAACACTCGCAACAACACCCCCCATTAACACTCGCAACAACACCCCCACCAGCAACACTCGCAACAACACCCCCCCAGTAACACTCGCCAACCACACCCCCCCAGCAACACTCGCAACAACACCCCCACCAGCAACACTCGCAACAACACCCCCCCAGTAACACTCGCAACAACACCCCCCAGCACACTCGCAACAACACCCCCACCAGCAACACTCGCAACAACACCCCCCCCCCCCCCCAGTAACACTCACAAACAACACCCCACCACAACCTCGCAACAACACCCCCCCCCCAGTAACACTCGCAACAACACCCCCCCCCCCCCCCCCCCCCCCCCCCCAGTAACACTCGCAACAACACCCACCAGACACACTCGCAACAATACCCCCCCCAGTAACACTCGCAACAACACCCCACCAGCAACACTCGCAACAACACCCCCCCCAGTAACACTCGCAACAACACCCCCCCCCCCCCCCCCAGTAACACTCGCAACAACACCCCACCAGCAACACATCGCAACAACACCCCCCAGTAACACTCGCAACAACACCCCCCCCCCCCAGTAACACTCGCAACAACACCCCACCAGCAACACTCGCAACAACACCCCCCAGTAACACTCGCAACAACACCCCCCCCCCCCCCCCCCCAGTAACACTCGCAACAACACCCCACCAGCAACACTCGCAACAACACCCCCCCAGTAACACTCGCAACAACACCCCCCCCCCCCCAGTAACACTCGCAACAACACCCCACCAGCAACACTCGCAACAACACCCCCCCAGTAACACGTTGATGCCACTTCCAGCACCACCACGACCACCGGCACCCGCTTCCGTCTGCCCCCCCCCATCACCACCAGCCCCCCCCCCCCCACCACTACCAACCCCCCCTCTACCACCACCACCACCACCCTCCTCGCCACTCACCGCCAGAATCCCGTGCCAGAGACCCACGTCCTTTTTGAAGTCGAGGACATTCACCATGGTTTCCCCTGCGAAGAAGAGATGGCCAATGAACACACACCACCCGGGCTACAGGCCTGGCTGCAGGCCTGGGTGCAGGCCTGTCTGCAGGCCTGGGTGCAGGCCTGGGTGCAGGCCTGGGTGCAAGGCCTGTCTGCAGGCCTGGCTACAGGCCTGGCTGCAGGCCTGGGTGCAGGCCGGGCTGCAGGCCTGGGTGCAGGCCTGGGCTGCAGGCCTGTCTGCAAGGCCTGGGTGCAGGCCTGGGTACAGGCCGGGCTGCAGGCCGGCCTGCAGGCCGTGGAAGTAGTCCATGCAACGTGTCGCTCAGGTGCGGCCCCAGCGTAGACAAGGGGCGATGCGGGACAACGGTTCACGTGGGGGATCACGGTTCACGTGGGGGGGTCACGGTTCACGTGGGGGATCACGGTTCACGTGGGGGGTCACGGTTCACGTGGGGATCACGGTTCACGTGGGGGATCACGGTTCACGTGGGGGGTCACGGTTCACGTGGGGGATCACGGTTCACGTGGGGGATCACGGTTCACGTGGGGGATCACGGTTCACGTGGGGGGTCACGGTTCACGTGGGGGATGCCGCAGGGCACCTTCGATGTAGGCGCAGGCCTGGCGCAGGGCGCGGCAGTGCTCCAGCGCGGCGCGGCGCGTCACCGTGACGCCCACCACGCTGCCCTCCCTGCCCGTCTTGTACTGTCGCGGGCACGCCGACGGGGGGCACACACGGGGGAGGGGGGGGGCAACGATCGGTACCCAACGTCGTCATCATTGTCATCGTCGTCGTCGTCATCGTCGTCGTCATCGTCGTCGTCGTCGTCGTCATCGTCGTCGTCGTCGCCGTCCAAGCACTGCGGCAGCGCGAGCACGACTCCATCGGCATGGCGCTTTGAGAGCGCTCGGACCGCTCCACTCGATCATTGCCGTGCTGGCCGTCGGCCTCGTGGACGTGAGGCCTCCAGTCCTTGGGCGGCTTCGAGAGGTTCCGCGAGTCGGTGACGAACCACTGCACCTTGGGCCAGCCTGGGGACGACAGAAAGGGAGAGACACGGCGACGACGACGCTGACGACGAAGACAACGATGATGACGACGACAACGACGACGACAACGACGACGACAAAAATTGACGACGACAATGACGACGACGACGACCATGACGATGACGACGGCGATGATGACGACAATGAAGATGACGACGACGATAACGATGATGACGACGGCGATGACGACGACGACGACTGTGATGGCGATGACGACGATGATATCGATGATGACAATCGCGATGACGACGACGTCCACCGCTGTGTGGCAGCCGCTTACGGAAGAGGAGGAGGAACCGCAGTGGGTTTACCGTGTGGGCCACGCGGTGGCCATGCAACCCACCGTGTGGGCCACGCGGTGGCCATGCAACCCACCGTGTGGGCCACACGGTGGCCATGCAACCTACCGTGTGGGCCGGCCACGCGGTAGCCATGCAACCTACCGTGTGGGCCGGCCACGCGGTAGCCATGCAACCCACCGCGTGGGCCACAAGGTGGGGTCGCATTGCCACAGTGGCACGCTGTGGCCATGCAACCCACCGTGTGGGCCACAAGGTGGGTCGCATGGCCACAGTGGCACGCTGTGGCTCGTGTCTTGCAACCCAAGCGAGTCATCTGCGCTGCAAGTGACGTGCCCGATGGCCGACGAGCTATGTGCATAGCGATACGTGATGCGGGCGATGCGTGTGATGCGTGTGACGCGTGTGACGCGTGTGACGCGTGTGACGCGTGTGACGTGCGTGATGTGTGTGACGCGTGTGACGCGCGTGATGTGTGCGACGCGTGTGACCGCGTGTGATGCGTGTGACGCGTGTGACGCGTGTGACGCGTGTGATGTGTGCGACGCGTGTGACGCGTGTGACGCGTGTGACGCGTGTGATGTGTGCGACCTTTGAACTGCACGATGTCACCGGTGGGGCCCTTGGGAAGGCCGCGGTGGCACGCGTCGCTCGTGAGCGCCACGGCCACGCCACATGTGCCCAGCAGGAAGCCGATCTGCTGGCTCGCCGAATCCTGCACCCACGACACAGGGCGCCACGGTCAACCCTCCACGGTCACCCACCCAGGTCACCCGCCGAGGTGAAGAGGATGACAATGATGTTGTAACTCATGAGGATGAAGATGCTGCTGGTGCTACTTCTGCTGCGGAGGAAAGCACCGCTGAAGCTGCTGCCGAAGATGATGGTGGTGCTGCTGATGATGATGTGGTGGTGCTGCCGATGATGGTAGTGGGTGGTGGTGGTGGTGCTGCTGGATGGTGGTAGTGGTGGTGCTGCTGCTGATGATGATGGTGGTGGTGCTGCTGATGATGGTGGTAGTGGTGGTGCTTTTGATGATGATGGTAGTGGTGCTGCTGATGATGATGGTAGTGGTGCTGCTGCTGGATGGTGGGTGGTGCTGCTGCTGCTGATGATGGTGGTGCTGCTACTGATGATGGTGCTGCTGCTACTGATGATGGTGCTGCTGCTGATGATGGTGCTGCTGATGATGGTAGTGGTGGTGGTGCTGCTGATGATGATGGTGGTGGTGCTGCTGATGATGATGGTGGTGGTCGTGGTGCTGCTGCTGGATGGTGGGTGGTGGTGCTGCTGATGATGGTGCTGCTGCTGATGATGATGGTGGTGGTGGTGGTGCTGCTGCTGGATGGTGGGTGGTGCTGCTGATGATGATGATGGTGGTGCTGCTGATGATGATGGTTGTGGTGGTGGTGCTGCTGCTGGATGGTGGGTGGTGCTGCTGCTGATGATGATGGTGGTGCTGCTGATGATGATGGTTGTGGTGGTGGTGCTGCTGCTGCTGATGATGGTGGTGGTGGTGGTGCTGCTGATGATGATGGTGGTGGTGGTGGTGGTGCTGCTGCTGCTGATGATGGTGGTGGTGGTGCTGCTGATGATGATGGTGGTGGTGGTGGTGGTGGTGCTGCTGCTGCTGCTGATGATGGTGGTGGTGGTGCTGCCGATGCCGCCGACGGCAGTGGCGGCCCGCGCACCTTGCGGGAGAGCGGCACCTCGACGGGCACCGGCGTGAGCTGGGCCAGGAGGCAGCCGTAGAATGCGGTGACGAACGCGGTGGCGTCGCTGTTGGGGTAGACCAGCGCCACCTGGACAAAGAAAACGACACCCCCCACCCCACCTCCTCCGTATCGCCTCGGCCACTCGTGACGGGCGCGGAATTCGACACCGAGCGGAGGCTGCCCGCCACCTAGGCCCGACAACCCCGCGAGCCATGCTTCACCGGCACAATCACCGCCGGGCACAATCACCAATGACTACCAGCAACAACCACCACCGCTACCAGCACAACCATCGCCGTCACCACCGCATGACCACCACCGGCACCAGCACCGGCACAACTACCACCCACACCATCGCCGGCACAGTCGTCACAACCACCACAACGGCCTGCGATGATTACTACCGATCGGGCGAGCACGCCTACACTCGCACCACCACAACTAACACCATTACTACCACCACCACCACCATCAATACCACCACTACTACCATCATTACCACCACTATTATCACCACTACCAACACCGCAATCATAATTACCACCACCGTCATCATTGTTACTACCACCGGCACAACAACCACTACTGCCACCATCACCACACAGCCTGCAATGCCAACTAACATACACACGCACAAAGCAAAGACAAAGATCCCCCTGTATGGCCTTAACAGGCATGTTGTGGCAAGTGCTGTCAGCGAGCACCTATGAAGTAGTGGTGGTGTAGTAGTAGTGGTGGTAATAATAGTGGTGTAGTTGTAGTAGTAGTGGTGTCATAGAAGGAGTGGTTGTTCAGGTCGTAGTAGTGGTGATATAGTAGTGGTTTTGGTGTAGTATCGTGTAGTGGAAGTGGTGTAGTGGTAGTGGTTGTGCAGTAGTGGTAGTGGTGATGTAGTAGTGGTCATGGTTTAGTAGCGGTAGTAATGGTGTAGTAGTGGTTGAGGTGGTGTAGTAGTGGGCGTTGGCTGTAGTGGTGATGGTGGCCACACACCGTGCCGTGGCTTGTAGTAGGTGTGGTGTAGTGGTAGTGGTGTAGTAATGGTGTAGTAGTGGTGGTAGTGGTCACACACACCCTGTGTCCCGGCTTGTAGTAGTAGTAGTGGTGGTGGTGTAGTAGTGGTGTGGTGGTGTAGTAGTGGTGGTGGTGGTGTAGTAGTGGTGGTGGTGGTGGTGGTGTAGTAGTGGTGGTGGTGGTGGTGTAGTAGTGGTGGTGGTGGTGTAGTAGTGGTGGTGGTGGTGGTGTAGTGGTGGTGTAGTAGTGGTGGTGGTGGTGTAGTAGTGGTGGTGGTGGTGTAGTAGTGGTGGTGGTGGTGTAGTAGTGGTGGTGGTGGTGTAGTAGTGGTGGTGGTGGTGTAGTAGTGGTGGTGGTGGTGTAGTAGTGGTGGTGGTGGTGTAGTAGTGGGTGGTGGTGGTGTTGTCGTGGGTGTGGTGGTGTAGTAGTGGTGGTGGTGGTGTAGTAGTGGGTGGTGGTGGTGTAGTAGTGGTGGTGGTGGTGTAGTAGTGGTGGTGGTGGTGTAGTAGTGGTGGTGGTGGTGTAGTAGTGGTGGTGGTGGTGTAGTAGTGGTGGTGGTGGTGGTGTAGTGGTGGTGGTGGTGTAGTAGTGGTGGTGGTGGTGTAGTAGTGGTGGTGGTGGTGTAGTAGTGGTGGTGGTGTAGTGGTGTAGTAGTGGTGGTGTAGTGGTGTAGTAGTGGTGGTGTAGTGTGGTGGTGAGGTGGTGGTGTAGTGGTGGTGGTGTGTGGTGTGGTGTAGTGGTGGTGGTGTGGTGTAGTGGTGGTGTGTGGTGTAGTGGTGGTGTGGTGTAGTGGTGGTGGGTGGTGTAGTGGTGTGGTGGTGGTGTAGTGGTGGTGGTGTAGTGGTGGTGGTGTAGTGGTGGTGGTGGTGGTGTAGTGGTGGTGGTGGTGTAGTAGTGGTGGTGGTGGTGTAGTAGTGGTGGTGGTGGTGTAGTAGTGGTGGTGGTGGTGTAGTAGTGGTGGTGGTGGTGTAGTAGTGGTGGTGGTGGTGTAGTAGTGGTGGTGGTGGTGTAGTAGTGGTGGTGGTGGTGTAGTAGTGGTGGTGGTGGTGTAGTAGTGGTGGTGGTGGTGTAGTGGTGGTGGTGTAGTAGTGGTGGTGGTGGTGTAGTAGTGGTGGTGGTGGTGTAGTAGTGGTGGTGGTGGTGTAGTAGTGGTGGTGGTGGTGTAGTAGTGGTGGTGGTGGTGTAGTGGTGGTGGTGGTGTAGTGGTGGTGGTGGTGGTGGTGTAGTAGTGGTGGTGGTGGTGTAGTAGTAGTGGTGGTGGTCACACACTCACCCTGTGTCCCGGCTTGAGACCGCTGTCACGGCTTGCCGCTGAGTTTGTGGAGCAGCGTGGAAGGCCACCTTCACGCTCCGGCTCCACAGCTTGCCTGCGCACACCATCACCATCACCATCGACATCATCAACATCACCATCGACATCACCATCATCACCAACATAACCATCAACATCACCATCATGGACATCACCATCGACATCGCCCGCGCCGTAAGTGTGAGCGCGTACCGTAAGTGAGCGTGCCGAGTGGCTTGCCATAGGCGTCCAGCGTCGTGGTGCATGGCATCTTGGAGGCCGTGTTCCCCCACCGCTCCAGCACCGCCTCGAGTGACGCCCCCACGGCACCGCACTCACCGCACTCGCCACAATCACACGCCGCCGCCGCACTGCCCGCCGCCGCCAGCCACCGGGACCCACCACCAACCTCTCACCCCCCGCCCTGGCCTCATCTCGGGACCCGTGGGGCCCTCGGCTGGTTGGGGTCCGGCTGTTGGACTGCGACGCCGCAATAAGAAAACAAACACAAAGATCCCCCACGTGGCCTCAACAGACTTGTTGGGGCAGGTGCCGTTAGCGTGCTCCTATGAAGGCTGCACAAAGAAGTGGATGGCCAGGACCGCGCCCGGCCGCCTTTGTCTCCCTAGTGGCCATGGCCATGTTACTACATGCCGCACCAGGTCATTCGACCTGGAGGAGGTCCTGGGCCGGTTCAGATAATCGTCACCGGTGTTGGCCGTGAGCGGGAATCGAACTCGGGTCGCCGAGTTCGTAGCGCAGCGTAGCGCTAACCACACACAAAGTGGACAAAGATCTCTCATGTAGATTGCACACGATGTTGGGGCAAGCACTATTAGCAAAGGCCACCAGGCCTGGCCCTCTTTATCTCCCCAATGCTGATATTTATGCAACGCATCGAGGGCGTGGATATATTTGGGTCGCCGCTACAATACCGCTCACCACCACCATCATCATCACGGTAGCCATGTGTAGGCCCCGTGAAGGCTCCATATAGGCCCCATGTAGGCCCCGTGTCGGCCCCGTGTAGGCCCCGTGTCGGCCCCGTGTATGCCCTGTGCTGGCACAGTGTAGGCCCTGCGTAGGCCTTGCGTAGGCCCTGCGTAGGCCCTGCGTAGGCCCTGTGCTAGAACAGTGTAGGCCCCATGAAGGCTCTGTGTAGGCCCCGTGCTGGCACAGTGGGAGGCCCCGTGTAGGCCCCATGTAGGCCCCGTGTAGGCCCTGTGTAGGCCCTGCGTAGGGCCCTGTGCTAGAACAGTGTAGGCCCCATGAAGGCTCTGTGTAGGCCCCGTGTAGGCCCCGTGTAGGCCCCGTGCTGGCATACAGTGTAGGCCCCGTGTAGGCCCCGTGTAGGACCCCGTGTTGGCCCCGTGCTGGCACAGTGTAGGCCCCATGAAGGCCCTGTGTAGGCTCCGTATAGGCCCAGTGGAGGCCCTGTGTGCGAGCGCAATGTGGCGCTACCGACGAGCATGTGTGGAGTTCTCTCGGTACCTTCCAGGAGCTCTCTCCGAGTCGTCCACAAAGAACTCCTTGAGCGGAGGTCTCTTCGGGCCGCTTGAGGGTCTCCACCAGCTGCTGGATCTTGGCGGAGACACGACTATTCACCGGGACTCCTGCATGCGGCGAACACGTGGAATCATCATCATCCACCCATCAATCATCCACCCATCAATCATCCACTCATCAATCATCCACCCATCAATCATCCACCCATCAATCATCCACCCATCAATCATCCACTCATCAATCATCCACCCACCGATCATCCATCATTGGTCAGTCAGCAGCAGCAGCGGTAGCCACACCATCATCAGTAACTCCATCCCAACAGCGCCATCACCAACTGCGCTACGCTCACGGTCAACGCTGGTGACAAATATCTGAACCGGTCACGTGCAGCTTGCACCGTACATCGGGGCGCTAACTGCTACCACTACCAGTCCCCCACCACCAAACACCCACCGCCGCTGCCGCCACCACCACCACCACCACCCACAGCACCCACCGCCACCACCCGCCACCGACCACCACCCACCACCACCCACCGCCACCACCACCACCCACCGCCACCACCGCCACCCACCGCACCAACCGCCACCACCCGCCACCCACCCGCCACCCACCGCCACCACCCGCCACCACCGCCACCCCACCGCCACCACCACCACCCACCGCCACCACCCGCCACCACCACCACCCACCGCCACCACCCGCCACCACCCGCCACCCACCCGCCACCACGTCCGTGCTGGTGCCACGCACCGTCGGCCCGTCTCCATGAGCTCGACGTTGCCAAGACGGCGTGGGAGGCCCCGCACGGAGGCCACGTGCGAGCGCTTGGCGTGGGGCGGCCGCCCCGGAGGGTGGCGCTCGCCGCGCCGCTCGTTCACGTCCGGCGGGAGCCCCGTAGCGCCCTGGGTCACACGCACACAAAGACAAAGATCCCCCCGTGTAGCCTGAACAGGCTGTAGGCGCAAGTGCTGTTAGCGAGCACCTATGAAGGCCGGAAACGGTTCACGAGGGGGTGGGTGGCCAGCACCACGCCCGACCGCCTGTGTCTCCCCAGTGGCGATGTTTACTACACACCACACCAAGTACTCATTTGAGGCTGAGTCGACCTAGAGGAGACCCAGGACCGGTTCAGATAATCGTCACTGGTGTTGGCTGTGAGGGGGAATCGAAGCCCGGGTCACCGGGTTCACAGCGCAGCGTAGCGCTGACCGCTACACGACCTGTGACGACATCACTTCCGTTTACTCCTCGCTCTGTGATGACATCACCCCATTACTCCTCGCACTGTCACGACATCACCCCCGTTACTCCTCGCTCTGTGACATCACCCCGTTACTCCTCGCTCTGTGACGACATCACCCCCCGTTACTCCTCGCTCTGTGATGACATCACCCCCGTTACTCCTCGCTCTGTGATGACATCACCACCGTTACTCCTCGACCTGTATGACATCACCCCGTTACTCCTCGCACTGTGATGACATCACCCCGTTACTCTCCTCGCTCTGTGATGACATCACCCCGTTACTCCTCGCTCTGTGACGACATCACCCCGTTACTCCTCGCTCTGTGATGACATCACCCCCGTTACTCCTCGCACTGTGATGACATCACCCCCGTTACTCCTCACTCTGTGATGACATCACCCCGTTACTCCTCCCACTGTGATGACATCACCCCGTTACTCCTCGCTCTGTGACGACATCACCCCGTCCTCCTCGCACTGTGAGACCGGAAGCAGAAGACTTCTTCGCGATTCTGGCGATCACGCGATGAGGCTGCTGGTTGTTGTTGTCGTAATCACCAGCGAAATGTCACATTACTCAAAAAAATAAATGTTGGAGCGAGTTTACTCTCGCAACAACGCCGGTGTGCCGTGCTAGTTAATGAATCAGCACGTTTTGTTTAGGTGACAGACCTTACTCATTGGCTGTGTTGGGGTGGTGGCGGGTTAATATTCAGGTGATCTAATCCGCCAAAGTATGTATATCCCCACGTATAGCCTGTAACACACTGTTGGGGCAAGTGCTGTTAGCGAGTAGCACCTATGAAGGCCGGCAACGGCTTACGAGGGGGGTGGGTGGCCAGCACCACGCCCGGCCGCCTTTGTCTCCCCAGTGGCGATGTTTACACACCGCACCAGGCGCTCACTTTTGTCCGGGTCGACCTAGGGGAAGCCCAGGACCGGTTCAGATAACCGTCACCGGTGTTGGCCGTGAGCGGAGCATGGTTGTTATTATATAACGGTACGCGATCTTCGGATCGTGGTACATCGTCAGCTGCATCGCGAATCGCATCGCCCGCTATCGTCATCCCTGCTGGCCGTCGCTCGTAACGTTCGTCAAACCACTTCACCCACACCGCCTCCGGGGCGGGCGGCTCAACTTGGCGCACGTGGGGCCCTGACCGCAGGCCTACTACTCCCAAGGCTCCCGTAGCTTCGCCACCCGGCAAAAACGTCGAGCGGAGGAAACGTGGAGGCGGCGGCCGCGCCCGTCCGCCCGCGTGATGTCGCGGGCGGCGCAAAGCGCCCCCCGCGGGACGCGGTACTTCACGGCCGCGGTCGATGTCGGAGGCGGCGGCGGCTGGGGGCCCGCAGCGATCGATGGGCCCGGCCACTCTGCCACGGCCGGCGGGTTGGCGCCGAGAGTCCATAAAACGCGGCGCGGCAGAGCGCAAACGCCGGGCCCCCCCCCTCCCATCCCCCCCCCCCCCCCCCGCCGTCAACGTCCACTTTATTTACGGCAGCCGTCCGCGGTTTACGACACGGACGGACAGGGGCGAAAGCGGACCGGACGGGCACGGTGGGCGTTTGTGTTTGACGGCGCGCGGTTAAACACCCCTCCCCGGTGCTTTACGATCGGCTCCACGGAGACCCCGAGGGGCTCGCCGCCCGTCCTCACCGAATTGCGAGCGGCCCGCCACGGCGTCGGCGAGGGCCCCGACGCTGCAGGCGGCGCCGGGCCCCCGGCCCCGGCGCCGCCGCCAGCCGCCGCCAGGCCGCTTCCTCCCCGGCACCCCCCGTGGCCGCGCCCCGCCCCGTCGGCCCAACGGGGCCGCCCAGGCACGCCAGCGCCCCGTGCGACACCGACAACCGGGCGCCGTCGCCCGTCGGCCAGTGCTGCTGCTGCTGCTGGTGGTGCTGGTGGTGCTGGTGGAGCTGGTGGAGCTGGTGGAGCTGCTGCTGGTACTGGTGGTGGTGCAGGTGGTGGTGGCGATGGTGGTGTGGATGGCGTCCGCGGCCGGCCGGCCGATTGCTCCGCCGCGGACCGGCGTGCAGTCGGAGCTCACGGAGCGCCGGTCGGCCGAGGCGGCCGGCGCTGTGCGAGGAGGACGATGAGGCGGACGAGGAGGAGGTGGAGGAGCGGCGCACGGCCCGGCTGATCCACCGCTCCACGCTGAGGCTGCAGGGGCTGGCGGAGGAGGGGGTGGCGCCACCGACGACGCCGCCGGAAACGCCGCCGCCGGCCACCATCTTCGCGGTCCACAGCCGGGCAGTGCAGAGAGAGCCATCATCGTCGGATGCGGACGAGGTGTCCTGAAAAAGACAGGGGGGTGCCAAGTGGTGTGAGTGTACGCGCGCGTGTTTGTGTGTATCTATGTGTGTGCGTAGGTGGGTGTGTGTAAAGATCTGGGCAAAGTCCCATCAGGAGCTCCTCCGGCAGGCCAGGCTGCGATGGCTGGGTCATGTAGCCCGCATGCCCAGCCACCGCATGTCCAAAACAGCTTTGTTTGGCCGGATCGAGGGGGCTAAGCGGAGCGCCAGGTGGCTAAAGTACAGCAGGTTGGCACAGTAGGGGGCGCAGGTGGTGCATCAGCCAGTGATCTCAGTCAGATCGACCCGTGGCACCTGGGTCTGCCCCGTGACCTCCTGCCAGCGGGCGTTCGACACGTCACGTGGCCTCAAGATGCACATGGCCTGACACAAGCGTCGTGGTGACGTCACCCGCCACTTAGTGGCGAATGGCGGTTGTTGTTGTTGTTGTTGTTGCAGGCACCTGGGGGGGTGTAGGTGTCCACGGACATCTGTGCGACTAGCGAGTGGCGTTTGGAAGGCATGGGGACCCCCGAGCGCCGCTCGCGCTGCCTCGCCAGAGCGGCCTGCACCGCCTCCGAGTGCTCGTCTGCACCGCCCACGCACACACGCACGGACAGACACGTGGATGCACGCACAGCACAAGGACGGACACGCGGACGAATGAACACAGCGGACGCACGGCCAGGTGGATGCACGGACGCACGGACATGAGCACTGACGGACAGATAGACACGCAGACAGTGAGACCGATAGACAGTCAGACAAACAGATGGACAGATGGACAGACGTATGGATGGATGAATGGAAGGAGAGATTCGTGAAAATACAAATAGATGGACAAACGGACATATGGACAGATGGACAGACAAGGCAGCGGATAGAAAGTTATATTCGCAGATGTAGGGGTGAGAGACAGAGGGACAGATGAGGACAGGGACAGAAGGAAAAGATAGGTGAACAGATGGATGGACAGATGGCTGGAAAATAAGGTAGATGCACAACTCTATACATAGACACCGGAAAGGATTGAGAGACAGATCAACGGGCGGTTGGATAAATTGATGACAGAGCGGTTGGACAGATGGATGGATAAAACGAATGGACAAGCAGATTAGACAGACAGACATGTACAGCGTTGGTTGTACAGATGGATAGACAAGACAGGGCCTAAAGCAGTAGCGATCATGACAGAACAAATGGCGATGGCAGGCTGTCCCAGTGATGGTGGCGGTGATGGTGGTGGTAATGATGATGATGGTGGTGGTGGTAATGATGATGATGGTGGTGGTAATGATGGTAATGATGATAGTAGTGATGGTAATGATGATGTGGTGGTATGAATGATGGTGGTGGTGGTAACGGATAATGGTGGTAATGATATTGGTGGTGTTGATGACGATGGTGGTGGTAAGGATGATGATGATGATGATGGTAATGATGATGGTGGTAGTAGTGGTGGTAATGATGATGATGATGGTAATGATGATGGTGGTAGTAGTGGTGGTAAATGAATATTGGTGGTGTTGATGACGATGGTGGTGGTAATGATGATGGTAATGATGATGATGGTAGTAGTGGTGGTAATGATATTGGTGGTGTTGATGACGATGGTGGTGGTAATGATGATGATGGTAGTGATGATGGTGGTAGTAGTGGTGGTAATGATATTGGTGGTGTTGATGACGATGGTGGTGGTAATAATGGTGGTGGTGGGGTTGTGGTGGTGCGAGTGTTGGCGTGCTCGCCTGATCGGTAGTAATCATCGCAGGCCGTGTGGTGGTGGTGGTGGGTGGTGGCGGTGGTTGTGCCGGTGGTGTTGGTGGAGCGGTGAAGCGTGGCTCGTCGGGCTGTCGGGCCTAGGAGGCAGCAGCCTCCGCTCGGTGTTGAATTCCGCATCCACTTTAACAACAACAACAACAAAAATAGTAGCAGCAGTATTGTTGTTGTTTACCCAGGAAGGCCTCACCGAGTCTCAGGATTCCCTTCCAGGAGGGTCATGCCAGGTTGTCGCAGTCGGGGGGTCAGCGAGAGGGGGTTGGGGGAGTTTCTGCTCCTGCTGCTGCTCCTGCTGCTGCTGCTGCTGCGTGATCCCAAGTGAGTACACGCCACGTGCTGCTCGCTCCACGCGTGGCGAGCACACGACACTGATCGTGCACCGTTGTAACACAGAAGGCGCCCTCCGCTGTAACGCGGTTTCTGAGCGGTGGACGACGACGACGACGACGAAGACGGAACTACTTCCCCTGCGCCGCGAGGCCGAACTCTCGTTGGCCGGGTGTCCGCAGCGCGGAGCGGCACGCCGCCGCCGCCTCTCGCCGCTCTCAATGAGCACCGTCGTTACACGGCCGGCCGCCCGTGTAACGACGCGGGGATAAAATAACGGCCGTCGACGTGGGGGGGGGGGGGGGGGGGGGCCGCCGCTCGTCACCGGCCGCTCGCTTGCAAACCGCGACGGGGCGGCGTTTACTCGCACCGTAAATCGCTCGGCCGGGTGCCGTGGCTCGCCGTCAAACGGCCCGGCAGTGCCGCCTGGCGCTGGCACCCGGCGGGTCTCGCCGCTACTTCCGCCGTCACCATCGCCCCTGCTACTGCTAGGTCGGGGTGGGGGGGGGGTGGGGTTGGGGGGGGGGGGGCGATGGTCTTCGTCGCCGTCGTGAATATCGAATCGACTTTGAGACGTCGGCAAAAGATGTTGGGGACCACGACGCCGGTCAACACGGGGCGAGAGCGGGCGGCGGGAAACGCCCGGCACGGGCGCGGTGCGCCCGGCGGTCACCTGTGATGCGTGGGATGAACGGCGAGAGAAGCTGGGACCTCTTCGTCCGTAGCCTCTCGGCGTGATGTCGCCTGCACGCACACGCAGGCAAAGGTCCCCCGTGTGGCCTCCGCAGACTGTCGGGGCAAGTGCTGCTAGCGAGTAGCAGCACCTGCGGTGGTCGGCACCGTGGCACACGGAGGGGGTGGGTGGCCGGCACCGCGCCCGGCCGCCTTTGTCTCCCCAGTGGCGATGTTTTAACACGCCGCACACACCGCACACAGCCGCATAGTGCATCCCACACCATACCACACCGTCTGTACACCACACCGTCTGTACACCACAACCGTCCGTACACATATCATATACACCACACATACTATACAAACCGCACACACACACACACACTGCATACACAGCATTAACACCACACACCATATACAGCACGCATACACAACATACCACCACATGAACTTACACCGCACACACACATCATTTACACTAAACACCACTTGGCCATCAAAGACAAATCAGCCCGTGCCACACCACAGCCTGTGCCAACAAACCTACAGTCTGGAATAGTGTATATCGCCGCATCACTGCAGTATAAAAAAAAAATCCCAGTCATTCTCCATCCACTGCTGGATGAAGGCCTCCCAAACCCCATGTCTGCCGCGAGGCTGTGTGTTTCCCACACTGTAGATAATCACATGGACGTTGTAGATGGACAGGAAAGCTTGCGGTAACCAATTAGGCATTCACACACAGGTGTAGATCGATAAATAAATAATCACCTGGTGATGTATACTTGCAGATGTTCAGGTCTAGAGATGGCCATTAAAAATTATAGCACAATAACAGAATATTGGCATAACATAATCAGATAGAGATGCGGATACACACACACATACACAAAGACGTACATATGTATACACAGACTAACAAAGATCCCCCCCATATAGCCTTTAAAAGACTGTTTGGGCAAATTGCTGTTTAGCCAGCACATAAGAAGGCCCGGAAGGGCACACGAGGGGGTGTAAGGCTAACACCACGACCGACCCCGTGCCGGTGTCCTAACACATCGCACCAGGCACTCGCAGGAGGCCGAGTCGGGGAAGGCCCAGGACAGGTGCAAGATCGTCGCTGTTTGTTGGTTGTGAGCGAGAATCGAACTCCGGGTCGCCGGGTTCAGAGCGCATTGCCCTAACCAATGTCCCACCTCTCAAACACACACACACGGACACCACACACCGAGACAACTACGGACACCGCACACGAGACACATGGACACCACACACGAGGACACGGACACACACACGAGACACAGAAGAGACACGGACACTACACACGAGACACACGGACACCACACACGAGACATAGACACCGCACACGAGACACGGACAACCGCACACGAGACACACGGACACTACACACGAGACACAGACACCGCACACGAGACACCACACACGAGACAACGGACACACACAAGAGACACGGACACCGCACACGAGACACAGACACCACACACGAGACACGGACACCAGACACGAGACACGGACACCGCACACGAGACACCACACAAGAGACACGCACACCACACACGAGACACCACACACGAGACACCGACACTACTCACGAGACACGGACACTACACACGAGACACGGACACTACACACGAGACACGGACACTACACACGAGACATGGACACTACACACGAGACACCACAACACGAGACACCATTACAAGGAGACACGCACACCACACACGAGACACGCACACCACACACGAGACACGGACAACCACACAACGAGACACGGACAACCAACACACCGAGACACGGACACCACACACGAGACACGGACAACCGCACACGAGACACCGGCACACGAGACACGGACACTACACACGAGACACCGCACGACGAGACACGGACACCGCACACGAGACACGGACACTACACATGAGACACACGGACACCACACAACACGAGACACACGGACACTACACACGACACACGGACACAACACACGATACATTACATTAACAGACACGCAGACAGACGCACATACATGTTACATAGTAACCACACACACACGATACATTAACAGACACTCAGACAGACGCACATACATGTTACATAGTAACACACACACAACGATACATTACATTAACAGACACGCAGACAGACGCACATACATGTTACATAGTAACACACCACACACGTGCTGTACATTAGCACACAACCGCACATCCCGTGTGTGACGAGGATGAAGCGAATGCCAATGAATGGCGGGTGAAACGAATGCGTGGTGAATGAATGACACAAATGGAATAACAAGGGGTGAATGAATCACCCGGGAGGAGGGGTAACGCACGAATGAATGACTCGAGGGAAGATTAATGAATGACGAATGAATGACCGGGAAGAGGGTGTTGTTTATTCATTCATGTGATGACAAACGACTGGATGAAATGACTCGAGGGATATGATTGACTGAATGACGAATGCATGACGGGCGAACGAATGGCGAATGAATGAATGAGCGGGGAGCAGAGGGGGTAAAGTGTGAACTAATGGCAATCGACTGAATACGTGAAGAACGAATGACTTACGGGCGAATGAACTAATGAATGAATGAGCGAACGCTTGGCATGTGTACGCACCTTGAGGCCGGTTCGAAGTGATGCGTGTCCGAGATGACAGATGGACAGACACTCTCTGGGTAGAATAGCCGGGCGGAGAAAGTAATCACAACACGCAGACACATTCGACTAATACACAACAAACAACCACCAGGATCGGCGTACAATCACACGGAGGTGCAAGGCGATCAGGATGGACAGTTAGACACATAGACATCACACACACGGACAGGAAGATATACATAGAGTTAGTTAGACGTGGAGATCCTCATATGGACACTGAGATTATACGATAGGCATGCAGATTCTAAAGACAGCCACGGCCATGGAAGATGCATACGATCAGATGGACGTGCATCGGTGAAGACATTCCAGATGGAGAGACAATCGCGTCGACAGTTCTCACGACGTTCCGACAACGGAATGTAAACGCAGAAGAGAGAGACAAACACTTCTCCATGGAGCTCCAGACAGACATCCCCAGGACGACGCAGGCCTCAGTGGTCACGGCAGATGATCAGGCAACAATAATAGTACAGACAAGCATGGTACTCGTACAAACGTCGGCAAGTGTGTACGAGTACCATGATTTACCCGCAGACGCCACAGAGATTGAGAGCTCACAGATACAGGGGTGTGTAGAACGATGATGTCAGACAGAATGTTTGTAGAACGACAAACATGGGATGGACAGCAGACGTTTGTAGAGCTAGAATGTAGTTAGACACGGGCAGAAAGGTGGACAGAGTTTGTATTGCAATACAGACGTGCAGACAAATATACCCAGTCTGTAGGCAGACGTCAACATACAGGCACAGGGAAATGTACAGAGCAGATGGACCGACCGGCAGCTTGGGCAGACAATTTGGACAGACGTGTGGACATATAGACACGCGGAAAGATGGGTAGGTGGTGTTGGCCTCTACATAGACAGAGAGAGAGGGAGACACGCAGATGGACAGAGAGACAGAGAGACGCAGATGGACAGAGAGACAGAGACACGCAGATGGACAGAGAGACAGAGAGACACGCAGATGGACAGAGAGACAGAGACACGCAGATGGACAGAGAGACAGAGACACGCAGAGGGACAGAGAGACAGAGAGACACGCAGATGGACAGAGAGACAGAGACACGCAGATGGACAGAGAGACAGAGAGACACGCAGATGGACAGAGAGACAGAGAGACACGCAGATGGACAGAGAGACAGAGACACGCAGATGGACAGAGAGACAGAGACACGCAGATGGACAGAGAGACAGAGACACGCAGATGGACAGAGAGACAGAGACACGCAGATGGACAGAGAGACAGAGACACGCAGATGGACAGAGAGACAGAGAGACAGATGGACAGAGAGACAGAGAGACACGCAGATGGACAGAGAGACAGAGAGACACGCAGATGGACAAAGAGACAGAGAGACACGCAGATGGACAGAGAGACAGAGACACAGATGGACAGAGAGACAGAGACACGCAGAGGGACAGAGAGACACGCAGATGGACAGAGAGACAGAGACACGCAGATGGACAGAGAGACAAAGACACGCAGATGGACAGAGAGACACGCAGATGGACAGAGAGACAGAGACACGCAGATGGACAGAGAGACAGAGACACGCAGATGGACAGAGAGACAGAGAGACACACAGAGAGACAGAGAGACAGAGAGACACACAGAGAGACAGAGAGACAGAGAGACAGGGCACGCAGATGGACAGAGAGACAGAGAGACACACAGAGAGACAGAGAGACACGCAGATGGACAGAGAGACAGAGACACGCAGATGGACAGAGAGACAGAGACACGCAGAGGGACAGAGAGACAGAGAGACACGCAGAGACAGAGAGACAGAGACACGCAGATGGACAGAGAGACAGAGACACGCAGATGGACAGAGAGACAGAGACACGCAGATGGACAGAGCGACAGAGACACGCAGATGACAGAGAGACAGAGAGACACGCAGAGGGACAGAGAGGACCGAGACACGCAGAGGGACAGAGAGACAGAGAGACACGCAGATGGACAGAGAGACAGAGACACGCAGATGGACAGAGAGACAGAGACACGCAGATGGACAGAGAGACGGCCTGGTAGGACTGTGGCACACACCTCGCGGTGCGCCCCAAACAATGGGCGCGGTGAAGGGAGAGCGGGGAGCGAGAGCGGGGAGAGAGAGCGGGGAGAGAGAGAGAGCGGGGAGAGCGCACAGAGAGGAGAGAGCGGGGAGAGAGCGCAGAGAGAGAGAGAGAGCGGGAAGAGAGAGCAGAGGGAGAGAGCAGAGGGAGATTAGGAAGAGAGAGATGAGAGAGCGGGGAGAGCGCAGGGAGAGAGAGAGAGCGGGGAGAGAGCGGGGAGAGAGCGGGGAGAGTGCAGAGAGACCGGGGAGAGCGCAGAGAGAGGGCGGGGGAGAGAGCGGGGAGAGAGCAGAGGGAGAGAGCAGAGAGACCGGGGAGAGCGCAGAGAGAGGAGAGAGCGAGGAGAGAGCAGAGGGAGAGCGGGGAGAGAGAGAGGGGGGAGCAGGGAGGGAGCAGGGAGAGGGTGGGGAGGGAGCAGAGAGAGCGGAGAGAGAGCTGAGATCAGAGAGGGAGCAGGTTGATAGCGGGGAGAGAGCGGAGAGATGTAGATCAATGGAAGGGAATGGAATAAGATCCGGGTTCTCGATCGAACGGCAGCGGGCGATTGGAGAGGGGGTTCACTGGGGGAGGAGAGGGGGAGGAGAGAGGGAGGAGAGAGGAGGAGAGCGAGAGAGAGACACCAGGGGAGATGCATAGAGAGAGAAGATGATCGGAGAGGGGAGAGAGTGGATGTGATTGTTAAAGGGAGATTGTGGAGAGCACGGATCTAGAGAGAGATGATGAAGAGGAAGGGGGATCGCGATGGGAGAGAGAGAAAATGGAGAGGCCGAATGGGAAAGAGAGGAGAGATGGAGGGGCGAGCGTGCGCACGTGGAGGAGGAGAGAGGCCGGCTGGAGGAAAGTGAGAGACAAAGAGGGAGGGAGAGAAGAGAGGGAATGGGGCAGAGAGACAGAGGCACGGGGGGGAGAGAGACACGGGGGGAGGGAGACACGGGGGGAGGGAGACACGGGGGGAGGGAGACACGGGGGGGAGGGAGACACGGGGGGAGGGAGACACGGGGGGAGGGAGACAACGGGGGGAGGGAGACACGGGGGGAGGGAGACACGGGGGGAGGGAGACACGGGGGGAGGGAGACACGGGGGGAGGGAGACACGGGGGGAGGGAGACACGGGGGGAGGGAGACACGGGGGGAGGGAGACACGGGGGGAGGGAGACACGGGGGGAGGGAGACACGGGGGGAGGGAGACACGGGGGGAGGGAGACACGGGGGGAGGGAGACACGGGGGGAGGGAGACACGGGGGGAGGGAGACACGGGGGGGAGGGAGACACGGGGGGAGGGAGACACGGGGGGAGGGAGACACGGGGGGAGGGAGACACGGGGGGAGGGAGACACGGGGGGAGGGGAGACACGGGGGGAGGGAGACACGGGGGGAGGGAGACACGGGGGGGAGGGAGACACGGGGGGAGGGAGACACGGGGGGAGGGAGACCACGGGGGGGAGGGAGACACGGGGGGGAGGGAGACACGGGGGGAGGGAGACACGGGGGGAGGGAGACACGGGGGGAGGGAGACACGGGGGGAGGGAGACACGGGGGGAGGGAGACACGGGGGGAGGGAGACACGGGGGGAGGGAGACACGGGGGGAGGGAGACACGGGGGGGAGGGAGACACGGGGGGAGGGAGACACGGGGGGAGGGAGACACGGGGGGAGGGAGACACGGGGGGAGGGAGACACGGGGGGAGGGAGACACGGGGGGAGGGAACACGGGGGGAGGGAGACACGGGGGGAGGGAGACACGGGGGGAGGGAGACACGGGGGGAGGGAGACACGGGGGGAGGGAGACACGGGGGGAGGGAGACACGGGGGGAGGGAGAACCGGGGGGAGGGAGACACGGGGGGAGGGAGACACGGGGGGAGGGAGACACGGGGGGGAGGGAGACACGGGGAGAGAGACACGGGGAGAGAGACAGAGGTCAACAGCAAAAGACGGGGACGGCGAGGCAGGGCGACAGGTTTCCACGAAGCGTTGCACGCAGCTGTTAATCAGCTGATTAACAGATTAACAGCTGTTAATCTGTTAATCAGCTGATTAACAGATTAACAGCTGTTAATCAGCTGATTAAACAGCTGCTAATCTGTCAATCAGCTGATTAACAGCTGGTTAATTAGCTTATCAGCTGTTAATCGGCTGATCAACAGAGAATGCCGCTCCTCTGATTCGAAGTGAGACCATACTAAAGACAAAGATCCCCCGTATAGCCCTAAAAGACTGTAGGGGCAAGTGCTGTTAGCGAGCACCTATGAAGGCCGGACACGGCACACGAGGTGGTGGGCGGCAGACACCACGTCCGGCCGCCTTTGTCTCCCCAAGTGGCGATATTTTACACACCGCACCGGGCACTCATTTGAGGCCGAGTCGGCCTAGGGGAGACCCAGGACCGGTTCGCATGAACCTCGCCGGTGTTGGCCGTGAGCGGGAATCGAACCGGGCTGGTTGGTGTTGCAAGTTACGAAATCACGGCCCCTGTGTCAATCCACTGCTGGACGAAGTCCTCCACGTCGGTCACGGGGATTGTTTGACCATACTTCACCACGCGGGTAGTGCGGGTTGTGTGCGGTGGGGGGCAAGGTGGTGGGCAGCGGAGAAGCGGTGACCACACCGCTCTCGGAGTTCCATTCCCGGCGCTGGCTGTCTCAAGATAGCAAAGGTGCAGCCCCTGCAACGGCTGGCCGGGGCTGGAGTGCCCCCGCTAGAGTTGGGGGCAATCGCTGGGCCGCACGTCTCGGAAGACGTCGCCGCCCAACGCTCCGCCCCTACCGCACACGCGTGGGCCTACCCCGGGTGGGGGTGACGCGGGTTGGGGTGACGCGGGTTGGGGGTGACGCGGGTTGGGGGTGACGCGGGTTGGGGGGTGACGCGGGTTGGGGGGTGACGCGGGTGGGGGTGACGCGGGCGGCGGTAGAGGCGGCGCTTGGAGGGTGGATTT